GAAAATACCGGCCGCGAGCAACGGAAATCTAATACTCGGCGAAATAAGCAAATATCTCATAGCGAAATTAATTAGGAGGAAATTAGTGGCCGCGCGCCAGCGGTATGGCGGATCGAATTTAAAAAGTTCCGTCGCGGCCAAAGTTGGCGAGGGGCCGAAACGACGGGATTAATTTCACCGCTCGCGCAAAAAGTTGAGCAGTCGCAACGCGTGCCGCTCTTTTATCTTCCGTTCGCCGGAGGGGGGGGGGGGTGGAAGAAATAAATAAACAAACAGCCTCATCGGTGCTCGCTCGAAAATTCTCCAATATGGATTCGCGCGCGTTCGACGGATGACGGATGGCCATCCGTCACGCTACGCTTCTCGTATTCTCGGCGGTTTGAACGCGCGAGCGCGCCATATAAGATTCATTTGCTGCGTGATCGGTTGGATTATTCGACTTGGCAACGTAACGTAGCCCCTGCTGGAGGACTCCGGAGAGAAAAGCAAACGACCGGCCGACTGCGTCGCTAGGCGTATCCGTGCGACGCGCGCGAAGGGCTCGTTTCGGCGCGTTGCGGCCTATGGAAACTCGACGCAAAGCGCGAGTGCGAGAGCAGCTGCGTGGCGCGGATTACCGCTGTCTCTCAACGTCGGCTGTGCTTCCGCGAAAATCCGATGAAAAGGACAGGAGCGGAGAAAGAGCGTCCCCGCGGACGTGGCCGGGCGCTCGCCTAAAGGAGCAAACGACCCGGGAGAGAGGCTGCTCTTTCGTTTTTGCGCCCGGGCTTGCGAGGACGCGCGGCGCGTGCCGTGCACAACCTCCCAATCGGATTGATCGGAGTCAGCCCGGAAAGCCAACTAGAGCCCTCGCGGGAGACTCGAAGGGCTGCGCGAATATCGCTGCCGAACGCCAAACACACGAGTAACGAAGACCAAGTCGTCGCGCTTGGGCTCGTTGCGCGTTGCCCATGACAATGACGGAAACTAGCGTAGGCGAGAGCGAGATGTAATTAGCCGCGTACGTACGGGGTAATTAATAGTGACCTCTTCGATAATAACGCTCGGCGCACAGCAGCTTGCCTTCGCCGCCCGTGCAATTAGTTGCGGCTTTGCGCGGCTCGAACTGCTGCTTGCGCTGTCGCCTGAGCCCATTCCGAATTATCAATTGACGCGAGAGCACGGACCAGGCGCACTGCACAGAGGCATTTGGTTGCTACACGACGATTCGAACCTTTGTTTGCGTGCGCTTCGGCTTTTCGCTTCGAGAGAGAGAGAGAGAGAGAGAGAGAGAGAACAGAGCAGAGTTTGATTCGTTTGCAACTCACGCAGTTATATCGTCACTTCTGTTTACTCCTCGCTAATTGCCGCGCGCTTTTCCACTTTTTTTATTCACTTTTCCTGCTCGTTACTTTGTTTCTCTGTGGATTTCGATCGAAACGAAGGAAACTTTCCACGAGCGCGGGGATCCTTTTAATGACGTGGCTCGCAATGTGCTCTTCATTTTTTTCATCAGTGCTGTAAAAAAAATAATTTTTGCCCGAACGCGAAAATCGCATCGCAATGAAGATTCTTCCACAAGAGAACGTATTTTTTCACTCCAAGTTTCATCGCCACTCGAATTTTCAGCACAGAATTTGCAAACTCCATAACGAGAGAAAATAATACTGTTACTGCACTAGCGAACCGAGCAACAATCAAGTACAGGACATAAAAGGTGAATTTGATTGCAGTGCCGCTCTCGTGTGCGCTCGGGCGTTTATTTTCAGTAGGAGTATCTCGTCGAGTTTTAGCGGCAACCGCGGCGCTGTTAAAAAATAATTTTTTTTGCCTCTTCGCGTTTCCCGTTCGCTATCCTTGCAGCGGGCGACGCGCGCAGCGAGCATTTGCAGAACGAGAACCGCGTCGTGCAATAATTGAGCGATCAGTTTTTTTTTTTTTTTTTCTTTTAATTAATTCGCTCGAGGTAGTTTCCTTCATGAATAATACGGCCGCGCGCCAGCGAAAATTTCATAGTGCTCCTTAACGAACCGCGCGCAGCTCGCTAAAATTAGATACATACTTTACCTTTAACGTCTGCCTTAGCTGCCTTTTGCTTTTTCTTTCTTTCTTTGCAGCGGGGAAACCTCGCGGAGGCTATCGAACGATCAGCTCCCATGAAATCGATTCCACGGCACGCGCGTGGGTGTTTGATGGAAGGATAATGTTGGCCGATATACATTTCATTGGGTATTTTTTGGCCGCTGTCCTTGTCCCGTTTTGTTGTCGGACTTTATCTAGTAAACGACGACGAGGTGGAAGAGAAAAAGCGAGGGAACTCGATAAAGTTTTCGAGCGCGCGCTGCACTGAAGGCAGCTCGCTCGTTTACGGGGCCTCGATAAGAGGATTCATTTGGCAGCACGAGTGCACTGCACCCAGGCCTAGGCTCCAACGTATTTTTTTCCTTTTTTTTAGCATTTTCGCGTACGTGTGAGTGTGTATACGTGTGTGTGTGTCGGCGAAGGAAAGTTTTGGCTCGCTCGGCTGATCATCATTCCATTAACACTTATTGGATACTCGATGAGTAGCTTCACGAGTTTTCTCGTTAGCCTGAGTCTTGTTTTGCTATATTTTTTCTACGTTACCAATCCGGTTCATTACTGATTAGTCGTTACGTAGTTGTTTGGGCAAGTATTCAGTTGCTATCAATTTCCAAACGGTTAATCTTTTTAATTGGCATATTTCTATTGTAGTCGTATGGCCTCCTCGGTCACTCTGACTACTTAGGAATTAATTAAAAAACCAGTCGCTAGGGGTAGGCCAAGTGCTCCGTTAACATTCTAAAAATAATCACGTTGATTAACAATCGTCATTCCAAGAAAATTCATATTGATGCTATGCTCTTGAGCGTTTATCCTTTTCAAAATTCTCAGCACCTTTTTAGATTCATTCGATTGTATTTTTTTTTTTTATTTACGGCAAACATTTCATGCCGCGGTATTGATTAGAAATCCGACTTGACATTCATTGCTCCTTTTACATTAGTTCTGGTAAATCGCACACGAAAGTGGTTTCGGACAAACGATATGAGTATTAATTTTCATGAACACATGATTTGCCCTAACAAAACAATATCACTAAACCCTTGTAAGCTCCATACCAATTTCCGCGTAAAGTCGGAGAATTTGTCCGTGTAATTTGAGCGCGTTCCAGCATTCCAAGACAATACTCACGGAGAGGCAATCACCTTGGAACAGCTTTGTTGCTTAATTAACGCAATTCGGCGTGCGTAGAAAAGAGAAAAATCAGCGAGCGAAAAGAGGGGAAGGGGGAGAGCGAGCGGGGAGAGCTTTAATCATCGATGCTGCACATCCGTTCGCGTCCGTTCTCATTAAGTCACAGGCACGGCAGCAGCGATCGGCCGAGCGAAGAGCATCACTCCGAATATGAGCGAGAGCGAGCGTGCGATTGATTTTCATGCCGCTCGCCCGTACCGAAAATTAAAAGGGAATCCACGGCGCGGGAACTTTCGACGAGTGCCTGCGTCTGCTCGCTCGCGGCGCCATTTCGCACCAAAACAACGACTAGCGTGCGAATTTACCGGCCACTCGAGCGGCCAGGAACGAAAATCTGCCTTTAAAAAGCAAGCTCAGTTGTGATCGTTTTGGCAAAGCCTCGAGTGTCGAAGAATAGAGCGTAATTAGGCTTTCCCTCCTCATCTCAGGGTTCAAAATATACAAGTATATAGTCGACGCTTTCGATTCCCACGGACTGCGATGGGGCGAGCAAGGCGACCCTTTTGCAACGTTACGTAAGCGATAGGCGACGCGTGGTAATGGACAAGCTTCTATAGCAGCTGGCTTTTTGCTAAAGTGCCGATATGGAGTCAATAACGGGACCCGCCAAGAGAGCGAGGATTCTGTTGTCGTGTGCGTCGCGCGCAGCACATTTGCCTCGGCTGCCTGCCTACTACGCGTTTCTCATTCTCTGTCTCTCCGCGACGTATATTTATAGTGCGCGAATAGACGCGCGTCTTTGAACGCGTGATTACGCATTCAGCCGCGATCGACGAGAAATTTGCAGGTCGTACGTTCTACTCGGAACGAAAATGGCGCCTGGGAAAGTGTTGAGCAAGCCGAATGGCAACGCAGACAGGAATAATCATAGTGCGACAGCAGTGGCATCGCGGGCGTATCCCGGGCACACAAAGGGGGCAACGCATGTAGGTTAGCCGAGCACTCCAGCTTTCTCTCTCTCTCTCTCTCTCTCGCTCGCTCGCTCGCTGTCGGTATGCGCGCGCGTAGTAGCCGCTAATAGGCAAGTGGCGGCAGCACTCCGATTAGACTCCAACGACCAGCTATGGGGATTATGTTAACGTGGACGCGATGCACTCCTATAGCGAAGCCTCCTTTCACGAGCGATAGGCCTGGCTCGCTCCCCGACGACGCTGATTAGATCGTCGGATCGGGGAGACGCGCGTGGTCCGCGTGGTGGCGAGCTCGTCAAGGTCCACGCTGCGGCTGTCGTGCGAACTGGACTTTAATCTACCGAGGCTTTTCATCTATCGCGCGTCCTTTTGTAATAAAGCTACGTCCGCTACGGGGCAGATTTACCGCTAGCCGAAAAGTGCCGTACGAGGCATTGCGATACGCTAATACACCGTTTGTACTTGTCACGCCTGTCCACTCTCGCTCGGCATTGTTCGACTCCTTCTGCTCGCGATTGTTAATTATATTCTCTCTCGCGGGACGTCGACGCGGGAGTATCGTGACCGGCACAACGAAAAATCAATAAAAGATCAACCGCCTCGCGAGCCAACGCCACGGAGAGATCAGCGACGATCGAGAAAAGGCGCGGGCTAATGGATTTACGGGGACGCGGCAAGTTCCCGGCTAAAAGTTTGCCTCTTGGCGTTCGGCGCGGTTAATTCGCCTACCCAATTTACCCACGCAGTCACGTTCGATCTTGCTTCGTTCTTCTTCTTCTTCTTCTTCTTCTTCTTCTTCTTGCCCCCTAATTTTCATGGCTTTCGCTGTTGCAGGAAACACCCGACATGGCTACGGAAGTTCGCCCTGCCAGGCCTACCGTGCCCACGATAAACCAGTCCAAGAGGCCCATCATCATTTATCCGACAGGTAAAGTGTATTCGTTACGCAACCAAGGCCGTCGTGCAATTACAGAAATTGTAAGCACGTTCGCGTCGGTCGATTTACTTTTATCGGTGGAATCAACTTTCCGACATTTTAGCCTGCGCGCGATAGGGAGAACCTTTAGCGCGTACAGATATAGCTGGTTAAAGCTGAAAGGCAACTTTTGATGCTATTAATAAGCGCCGATTGATCGTGCAAGATTAAAGACACGGAATACTCGAATGCCTTGGTTTCTGCTTGGTTTGTAGTTAACCAAAAAGGCAGGACAAGCCTGTCCGATTCCTTGACGCATAGATGCGAAGCCAGCCAACCAAGAAGCTTCCGAGATAACCATCGGCACGATCCTGCTATATGACGCACGCTCTTCCTCCTGCTTGCCCCCACGCACAATTATTATTATTCATGGGCACGGTGCCAGCTGCAAAACCAATCGTTTCCCTCGACCTTCCGGCTTGAAAATAAGGAAAATCTCGGAGAGGTTACTCGGCCACAGCAAGTGCGCGCGCCCAAGGTCGGGAGCCTTGAACGTCGCTCGCACGCGACGCGATATTCGCACGCGCGCAACACCTTGACCCGCACGCGCGCGGCCGCGATTTCGCACGGCGAACGCCGAGCCCCCGAGTTTCGGAAGAGCGAAGCACGACGAGCGCTGCGCCCCCCTGGCCTCCCGCGCCCCGGGCAACAGTCTTATCTCCGCTCCGCGAGCAGGCGGCCCGATGACGAACGAAGCCCTTGGCGCGCCCTCCTCCGCTCTTTCGTCTCGGCTTATCGCCACGAGGCCATCCGCGAGCGAGGCTCTTCGATAATTATTATTCGCCTGGCCGTTGACACGCACCTGCCGCCGCGCTTGCGTCGCGGTCGCGCCAGGTTTTCCCCTGTCTCGCGCCGATTTACTCTGGCGCGAGCAATTGGCTTGCCTCGCGCCAAACGACATCCGTTTGTTTATCTTTTCTTTCGCGAGTGCCGATCCCATATCGCGCTCCATTTTATTGGGTTTCCGATTCTTCTCCCCGGCGTTATTTCAGCTCTCGCGCGCGCAGGCGCCAGTCGAAAAGAAAACAACTCTGGCTTTCCCTCCGCGCGTACGCGTTTTATTGGAAAAGAAGACGAAGCCGACTCGAGAGGGAATCGAGCCTTTGAGGATCCGAGGCTCCGCTTCGCACGAGCTCGCGTGAATGCGCGCGCGTGCACGGCTTACGATTCCGTTCGGCGGCACCTCCCCGAGACTCTTCGACGAGTCGAGGCCAGTCGGCGCGCGTTTCGTTCTTTTCGACGTGGAGAAAACGCGGAAAGCGTCCGCTCGAGGGCCGCCTCGTCCCGGAAGCGAGTGGAGAGAGGGGGGGGGGGGATGCGGGCAGCGAGATCGAAAGCGAGCTCGCGCGTCGTGAGGGTCCCCGTCGTCAGTGAGAGGGCGTCGGCGAGACGAGGCAACGCGAAAACAATGCGAGCCGTTGTCCGTCCGCCGATGTGGCCTATACCCGGCAAATCAAAGGCTCAGCCGTGTGTTTGCTATTTGCAGTGTCGCCGGAGAGCATAATAATACCGATAGTGTCGTGCATCCTGGGCTTCCCGCTGCTCGCGCTGATGCTCATCTGCTGCCTGCGGCGCCGGGCCAAACTCGCGAGGGCGCGTGCCAGACGGCGCAACTGCGACGTCGAGCACGGCGCGCTCAGTCTCGTCAGATTCAGCCCTGTGCATCGGCTTGGTGAGACATTTCATCGGAAGCTCGCGTCCCGACGCATGCCGCGAATGACTTTCTTCCCACCGACACGCGCATACATATGCTTATTTTGTCTAGTGCTCTCTTTGGAATTTGCTCGGCGTGCCGCGCGCGGCTTGCATCTGCGTTGTCCGTGTGACGAACTTTGATGCACCGGAACCTTGGCAGAGAGAAAATGCGTGTCGTTGCTTTACGCTCTATTATCAATATTTTTGACATTCTTCGATTTGAGCTTCTGTTTCGACTGGCGTCGAAAAGAACGAAACGAATACACGTGCCTCGAGGAGGAACGCAATTCTTCGATTGTTTTTTCTATAAATTCCTCGGATGTGTATTTTTCAAACGGGCATTATCGAATTGAAACTATTCTCGCGGAAGAGTAATACGGTTTGTATTGATGGATCGGAAAAAGTATAATGAAATAATTTGATAAATTGCGAGGAACGGTAAAGGTATCTACCGCCAGATAAATGATTTACTCGACGCTCGGTGAGCTTACGGATTAAGGGTAAATAAGATTCGAAAAGTAATTTCTATTCGTTGGCCATTGCGGTTGAAAAGTAATCGGTTCTATTTGAAGGTATAACATTCCGTCGCAATAGCGAAGCTCTCTTATTTTCCTTTTAATCTTGCGAAAGCTTTTTTTTCGAGAAAAGCTCTCGTAAGAGCAGAGCGCGTCCTCGGGACGAGAGCTTTTGAATAATAAAAACGCGAAACAAGTCCATATGAATTTCTTTCGCCGACAGCATCGACGCGAGCTCGCGTGTGTAATATATCGCGTGGGCGCCATTGGAGAATGGAGGATGCACGATTGATATGATTGATTTATTGCAGCCGGAATAGAGAAGCCACCGAAGACGTTGCCGATACGGGCAGATCGAGGCTCTCGAGCTTTTGCAGCTTTGGAATTGGATACCGTTATGGAAGAGCGCTCTGATCCCGAGATGAGCACCGCGGTGGAACTCAGTAGTCCTGACTAGCATTTAGCCCCGGCGATCTCGAGGTACTCTCTCTGCTGACTCGGCGTCCTTCGTATATTATTCCCTATCGATATTTCTCTCGCGCTTCGTACCCCTCCTCGGCTTCCTGTATATTATACAACTATATTAACTTGGCTTTATTCGGCATGATTGCGAATCCAGTTACGAGCCTATCGATCATCCTACGTAAGGTTGAATTGCTCATGGGAAAATTAATCTTCTGGCTCAATTTGAATTATTGTTCTGATTTCTCGGCGTGGGAATGCGTGGTCCATCGAGAATTATTATTTAATAGTTCGCTACAGCACAAAAAGCAACATTTTCGCTAGAGCTCAGAACGGAAGAGCTAGCAGACTTGGTTTTCCGTCAGAGTGAATTTCGTTTTGAGTTATGGCTTTTATTGAAATCTCACGGGCTTCGATTCAAGTCTCGTGTATCGCAACTAATTAACTTAACGAGCGTGCTCGGCGCGTCGCTCGCCATTTCAACATCCGTTCCGTGAAACTGCAACGTGCATTTCAGATCGCCGAGGCCTTCGAAAGGAAACGCAGTGCCCATACCAGCAGCTCACAGTCCGCTGTGGAGCACGCTGACAAACGAGCACGACGACTCGGAGCTGGAAGCTACCTAGCAGGAAACCCCGGGCGCTAACTACATTAGCGCCCTGGTACTCGACTTACCCATCATTTACTGACGTGAATTTCAGTCTGGGTTGCCGGCGACTTCGACCCCAGACTTGCGCAACGATCAGCGCGATGCGACTGCTGCTACTGCTGCTGCAACCCCGCACGAGCGAGTGTAAAAATAACGAACGAACAAACGTTATTCGACAAGTCAACTCGGCCTATCTCAATTGCTTCGACGTAAACGTACACGAACACTTGTTATATACACTGCTGCCATGTGTGTCGACGAGTCCAAAGAAATAAGGAAATGGCGCGTGTATTTTATGAAACTGAGCTTTTTATTTTCCTCAAGCTTTCTTTATAAATCGCTTGTTGTACAATGCGTAACGTCGAAAACAAAGTATAAACGCTGCGACCTATAAATACAAAACACTGCATACAAATATATTGTACGATTTTATATATGTGTAAAGCGCAAAGAAAACATAAGAAACATAGCTATATACGTGTCCCGTACGAACGTAGAGTATTGCAATTTTTATATTACATTACGTCTATCGGTTTTTAGTGGATGTACATATAACCAATTATGAGCCACTGCTTAGAACAACAATAAAAATGGATGTATATAAAGTATAAGTCCAACAGGAAAAATAAGAGTCACACTCTAATGTTCAATAGATGTGAATGAATATTAACCATAGCTTCAATATCTAAGATATTGATCGTGTATATTTTTTTCCAAGTTAAATGTAGCACATAATTTATATGAGATTTAGACAAGGATTTTCGATTGTGTATGCTATAAACAATGTAAATACGAAAAAGATAGACACTAACTAAGTGTTATCGTTACATATCTGAACATATATTCTTTTAAAAGATCACCTACGTTGCACCGTTTCAGTTTATATAAATATATACAAGGAATAATATCAGTGTTTTTGTTTTCAATTGTAAAGATTTGTTTATCATATAATAAATATTTGTATTTTCTGATAGATCAGAAAGTTCAATAAAAAAGATAACAAACAAATCTCATAATCTTCTTCAAAGAAGGTGCTTTTGTTACAAACAGTTATAACTGATGTTGATTTATTAATATCCTACATTAAAACCTAAATTTTTTCTAAAATCCTGGTATTATACGACCTTTCTTAGCAGCTTTTTTCAGTTTGTTTGTCTTGACTTCTTTTTTTCTCTTTTGTATATTTTCCATCCTCTTCTGCTGTCTGTCCTGAATTACTCCTTGTGTTTTATCTTTTCTAGCATCCCATTTTTTCTGACTGCGTTTCTTTTTCTGCTCTTCCCTTTTTATGGTACGCTTCAAAAGTTCTGGATCATCTTTTACCTATTGCACAAGAGGAAAGAATTTTAAATATTAATAATTTTCTAAATCAATTTATAAAATTCATTGATGATAAGTAAGTTTTATAAATAATTGTATATTTATATAATTATTTACCAATATTTTAATTTATTATTAATTAATTACCATGAAATAATTGGTATCAAATAATAATAATATACATTAAATAATTAATTAAATTTTTTCAATTATTTACTAGTTTTTTAACTTAAGTAAAATTTCTAAACTAAATTGATAGCATTCCTAGTTTTTTTTATACTCACTTTTTCTCCAACAGCTTTAGCTAATGCTGCTTTCCATGCTTCTTTTTCTTTATATTCTTCAGCCTTTTCCTTCTCTCCAGCTTCTTCCAACTCCTTTATCTTCTTTTTCTTTTCCTCAAGTTGTAACAAAATCTTTTTTGGATCTTTTTCTATTTTTGTAAGTTTTTTTTTGGTCCCTATTTCGGAGAAATCAAACTTGCTGAATACCATGTTACCTTGTGAATTGAAAATAGGCTTTTGTTTAGGGGCTTTTGGAAGTTCCAGAGCATCTGGATCATTTTTAATTTTTGATGACTCAGTTGCCACCCTTTCCGTACGAACCAATTTCTTCTTCATTAACCTTCCTTCTTTTTTAGATTTCTTTGACATCCTATTTTTGAGACCTTTCTTAACTAATTTCTCTTTGTAACTTAACTTTTTGCCTTTAAGTTCGTTGAATTTTGCATGAAGCTCTTCAAAATTTTGTGCTCGATCAGTCTTATCTCCAGATTTTGAAAATGATTTGTCTAAACAAAAAATACATGCTGTGAATAATCAACCCATATCAATTTACCACGAAAACTATGTATAATTACCTTTTTTAATTGAGTTCCAATTTGCTTCCAACGGTTCATGACCATTTTGTGCAACTATGACAAAAATAACGAAATTATAAAATACAAATTTTAAGGTTAAAAGAAAATTTATTATCTTACCAAGTTCGTTTACGGGTAAAGGCATTTTCGAGAAAATATTTGAAATAAATTGATCTTCTTCGAGAAGTTTGTTTTTAACCAGTTTTGCATTAAACTTATTCGGCATTTTTAATTTCATTTTCGTACTTTACTTACGTGCGTGTACCAAATCAATTAAGCCGTCCCGTACATGTGAACAACCAAAAACTGTAAATATAACCTATAAATTATTTACAAAATCTTGCAATAGATGGCGCTAGATGACTCGAAATGAACTTAAATAGTAATTACAATAATATAATCACATTTTTTATTAAAATATAAAATTAAATATTTCTGTAAGTATTATGCATATATGCATATAGAAAAATAATTATAAAATTAATTTTAACAATAGCTATTTGATCTGTCTAATATACAATGAAAATATTACAATAATATTAAGATACAAGAATTCATTAGAACAAAAATATTGAATATAAATTCAAGCCAGATTTGTTTTTTTTATAATTTTAGTTCAATTCACAACCTCCTCTTCTAAATTACATAGTCTCATTACATTCAATCGCTTTCCACATAGATCATATTTATCAAACATGGTTTCAACAGCCATGGAATCTTCTGCAGATTTAAAATAAACATGGCAATATCTTATCTCATTTTTTAATACAGTTTTAACGTAGCTTATTGCAAGCGGTTCAAAATCTTGAAATAGATGTAATATATAGGCACTACCAAAACCATTAGGAATATTTGCTACTATAACTTCATCAGCATTGTAAATCACTTTTTTTGATAGAACTATTGGTTTGATTTTATTTGCAACAAGATCTGGTAATTCATCTTCATCATTATATCCAATATTACTTCTATTAGTTATAGTACCAGTGTTGAAAGTGTCGGAATTAGTTCCACGAATTTGCAAAAGCGTCTTTAATTTTTGATCTGATTGAACAAGAGGTTTTGGGAAATTTATTGAATTAGATGCATGTACCAATTGTGGTTTGTCAATATAACTATTTCTAGTGGAAAAGCTATCACTCAGTAGCTTCACAGAAGCATTACTACCAGATGATGATACTTTTTCATTACATAATTCATATTCTATGTTTTGAAAATCTGTTACATTGGAACCACCGTTGAGTCTTTGTTCAATGCTATTTTTGTGGTTACAATCACTTCTTGGTTTTCTCTGAAAGAAATTCCTTTTTTCGGAATACATTTCATTATTTTCTTCTTTTTTTACATTATTACTATTTTTATTTTTAGGACGATATGGTATTAATTTTATTTGTGGATGATCTTTCAAATTGTCAACTGCATTTTTAACATCATTTAAGCAGGAGTATCGTACAAATCTCAAGCCTTTTTCATCACCACTTTTAGTAATCAAGTTGACTGTTCCATACTGAGAAAATATATCTTTTATTTGATCATTGCCAAGAGCATGCCTATTGGGAAATAAAAGCCAGTAATTGCCGTAAGGATCCTGAGACCATAATGGTTCTTTGTCCATTGCAATTTTTTGCTATACCTGTTAAGTTAAATGTAATGCTCTGTATAGTAACTAATACAGCTAACGATTGTTTTTGTAAGAACACGATTTGATTAACCTTGTTATAAGAATGATTTCTTTGATACCTACACAAGTATCTTTATGATCTGGACAAAACAATTCGCTCGATTTATCAACTTAATTAAAATGAAAATTGTTACCCATTAAAAGTGAAAAATAGATTGTAAAGTTCCATCAGTTACTCATTTCTAAACCATGCCTTCGGCATGCAGTGTCAGTTTGTACACTCGAACAGATTCTGTTTTGTTCTGTTGGTATTTGTTGGCTTGGCTCTGGTGTCGACTCAGAGTGTTCACCATGGAGACTATATACTGTATATAGTCTCCATGGTGTTCACAGAAGACGTATCTTAATCTATGAACTCGAAATTGTAGAGATGGCGTGCGCATACAAAAACTCGGACGAGGACGGCCCCGGGATCGGGAAGGAAGAGGGATCAGGGATCCCGTGTGGATACTCCCTAGCAGCTGTTGGCGTCACATTTAGAACTCCATTACATTTTGACCGCTTGTCTAAATGTTTTTTTTTCGCGTTTTTTATGAAAAAATGGGTAAAAGTTCTATTTTTATTCATTAATGAATATTGATGTACATATATGTAGTCTACTTTAAAGATTATGACTTAGTCGTATTCATTAGAATCTCTAACTTGGCATGTAAAAGGTTTAAATAATGTAATAATTAACAGAAAATCATAAAAAAAGTGCACGAAGCGCTCTAAATAACACTAATATATAAAATACCTCATGAAAAATAATCAGTAGCAATAAAATGCTTACTACGCATGCGATATCTTTTGCGAAGTTAACTTTTCAAGTTTAAGAGCAAACATTTATATTTTTTCAATAAAATTGGATTTTTTGGAGGTTTATAAAAGTGAATGTCATTATTTTATTTAGTTTCACATAAAAGGACTGAACAATAACGTCGGTTTCTATTGTTTTGTGGGGCCACTATTATAATATATTAAAACTTGCAATGTTATTGTTCACTAATAGACGCTGCATATGCTATACTTTATAACAAAATGTAAAAAAACTAAACAACTATTTAATAACTTTATTTTTAATTTGTTTTTTGTTCAATAATAACTCTTATATAGCAAAATTTTACTTTTATTTGCCAAAAAATAAAAAAAGAATTGACAATCGCAATATTTTAGGAAATAGCAGATATATAGTTTGCTGTATACGTATATATGGTACTTTAAAAGTACTTGAAAAATGAAACAAAAAAGAATTAGACAACTATTTCATAACTTTTTTATTTTAAAAAGCTACATGTATATTGTTCTAGCTGTATTTCACGTACTCTTCATACATATGAAATCCAAACAAAATTGTTTTAAGTAATAATTATGTTATTGCTGTGTTAATTTTTGAATTGTTGAGTCTTGCTTAGCTTTTGTTTCTGGCTACTAGGTCGGCACAGCAGTATGGTTAAGTTACCAATAGTGTATGTATGGTTTATATATATTGTTAATAAAATTACCGGGAAGTGAATATACACATGATCTCAGAAAAAAATTTTATTAGAATTAGCTATAATGGGTATTCATATATTGACGATGAGTTTTATTTCAAAATTACGCATTTCTTAAACAATGTATATATGTATATATTTTTAGATTTATATGTAAAATTAATTAGTTATACTTATTTAATATAACAAGCAATGTTTGACGCAAAATGCTTAACATAATAATAGTAATTAATGGTATCTAAGCAATTCTGCCATTATTGATTGTATTAAACTAATACCAGTTTATTTCTGTAAATCAAGTACATTAATACTTTTATTTAGTTCATTGCGTGTAAACAGCTTTGTGCAGATGAATACTGTCATTATAAAATTAGCAGGTATTGCATTACTTTATTTTTATCTAATTAATAAGACAATACTGAGTTATAAAAAAATTTCCGCTTGCAAATTATAACGCTGAATGACAACTGAGGTTATTAGCTTATTGCTCGACAAAAATTAACGCAGTACAGTGAAAAAGAGGGGACAGAGTATGTATATATGTATGATATATACAAGAAAGCAAAGCACGCGGCTACGAATAGTACGAATAGAACAAAAATAGACAGAGTCGGAGAGCGAGAAAGAGTATGTACCTAAACGCCAGCGGCAAGACAACAGCAATACTTGCTTTCTGTTCTCTCCTCTTCAAGTCGCGCGCGCAGTCATTGTTTCGCTTGACTTGACGATCGAGAGGACGATCAAAGAAAAATGGATGGTGGCCCATTAGACGAGTATCCAAAGAAAATGAACAGCACTTACGATGATGAAGAAGAAAAGAAGCATTTTCAAAGAATCGTTACAGCATTCAAGTATTACAAGTAAATAATTTTAATTGTTAATTGTCAATAGAGTTCGCCTTTATAACCTTACGTGTTACCACCTCTCATTCTTACGATTTAAGAATTTCCATTCAGCGTTATCGCTTTCACCGAAAATTTTTTATACGCTTCTCGCACATGTGTTATGGCTAGTTTAATTTGATTAATTTTGAGTAGCGTTATTTGAATCTTGTGATGAAACTGAAGCCGAGTTGCTATATTAGTTAAAAACAAATTCATGACCGGTGTTTTCAACTGCCGCGTCCTCGAACGTTTTAATGACTTTCTTGCTATTCTTAAATATCCAATATTACTTGTTTTTTCTGATCCAATTATCATGATGGTAGCGTTATCATTTTCAAGATAAAGTAATCAACCTTCTAATTACAAAAGTAACATTTGTTTTTGTTTTATGTATTATGTTAGTATGTATAAATTTTACGTACTCAGTTTTATTATCATGTTTTTTATCTACTGACAAATTTAACTTCTATGACGATTTCTAAGTAAAAATTATCTATGGAGGTTGATAACTTGCTCCAGGCAAGACTATCTTTGTAATATATATGGTTAATTTCAGACCACATTCATTACAAAGAGTGAAGAAAACTGAAACATATCTTCTGTCACTTCCTCCACATCACCAAACACTACTTAGCAAGTACAGGGATCATCTCAATAGAGTCAAAACTTGTATTGAAAATAATGATGAAATTATCAAACTTATAATAAAAGATGTTACACATATTTTTGAGAATGTCAGCCCAGCCTCAACCACTGACAATGTAAGACCAGTTCCTATGGTGTGTAGCATGTATTTTATTTCTTGTTTTTATTTTATTAAGCAATATTATTGATAGCAATATATTTGTTACAATTTATATTGGTATAGGAAGTATAACATTTGATTTCCTATTTTATGTTTGTTTTCTGTTATTTTGTTGTTTACTTCTCTATCTATGTTTTTTAAATCTCTTGTTTTCTCTATCATACACTAATTTATTTTTCTTATACAAAATATATCTATTAATTATGTTAGAATTTTTCTGTTTGCTCTAAACTAAGTTACTTTTTTATTCATGTTTTAATTATCTAAGCTCTTAATAGTACTGATTTGTAATAAACAGATAAGATACAAGAGATAATATAAGTAGAAACAATGTATTTTTAATTATAATAATTGTACATTATGTGAACTTATAGACTCTCACTCATCGTCCAATATTAGCAGATCAAGAAAAGGTTCAGGCTACGATAAAGCAGCTGGTGAGAGATTGGAGTATCGAAGGAGCTGAAGAGCGGAAAACCTGCTATCAGCCCATCATTGATGAAATTGTTAACCAATTTCCAGAGCCCCATTGGTATGGGTAGTGTAAAATTTTTTACTTCACTCCAATTCCATACAATATTCACCTTCACGTCTTCTGTCATAAAATGATAGATAACAGTTCAGACAGAAAATGGAATGATAGATAAATTTCCAGTACACCAGGGGATATCCGAATTCTGGTACCCGGAGCTGGACTTGGGAGGCTTGCCTATGAGATTGCCAAGAGAGGTTTTATTTGCCAGGGGAATGAATTCTCTCTTTTCATGCTCTTTGCATCGCATTTTGTACTGAATAAGTAAGTATAATTTGATTTATTTCATTACTTATACAATCAAAATCACAAAGAATTTGCTTCACAACATTTAGCTATTATTAAATGCATTATACATCAACCTTTCTAACATGCTCAGGTTGTCATTACAAACACTGAAATAAATAAAAAAAAAATAAATGAATTCCATTGAAAATGAATTGATTTTGAGTATTTTCTTTATACAAAGAATTAATATTATTCAACATTGAATTTAAGGTGCAGAGGAATAAATTATTACAAAGTTCATCCATGGGTTCATCAATATATGAATAATCTGAAACCAGAAGATCAAATAAAAGAAATCAGCTTTCCAGATGTTAATCCGAGTGATCTCCCTGAAAATGCACAATTTTCTATGGCAGCAGGAGATTTTTTACAGGTAGAATAAATGAAAAATTGTTCATTTAAGTAATGATACATATTTAGTAAAATTTTGCATTTTACATTTTAACTAAACTTCAATATAAGTAGAAATGTTGCATTCCAAAAATCTTCATTTTAACGGTTTTGTGGATATTTGTAATAGGTTTATACAGAAGAAAGTTATTGGGATTGCGTCGCTACGTGCTTCTTCATTGATTGCGCAAATAACATAGTACAATTTATTGAGACCATTTATAAAATATTGAAGCCAGGTGGTATTTGGATTAATTTGGGTCCACTTTTGTATCATTTTTCTGATCTGCCGATGGAAGAATCAATTGAACCAAGCTATAACGAACTACTTGACGTAATACGAGGCCTTGGCTTTCAGATACAGGTTCGTACTTTTATATTTAATGAGTGTACACATACAAACACACACATCCAAGTATTAATTGAACAATCTTTACATACTATTTAAGAAGGAGCAAACGCACGTAAAAACACGATACGCACAAAACGTCAACAGCATGTTGCAGTATGAGTATAATAGCGTTTATTTTGTTTGCCAAAAGCCAAAAAGGCTGTATACAGATGATCAAGCAATGAGCCAATACAATGGTTCAGATAATAATGGACTGCAAGAACAAGAAAGTTAGTTATTTATCTGGTTGTGTCTTACTCTCAAGGATAATTGAAAGAACATATATTTATATTTTTCAACTTTTGGACTGTTGCGTTTATACATTCTTTTATTTTTAAATACAATTTTTTCTATGCTATATGCAACTTGATATGAATCCATCTTCAATTTCTTTAATTTCATCACGTTGATTAAAAGTTAAAAAGCAAAAATAATAATTATTGGATTAAATGCAATCAATTGTTTCGAAATGTCCTTGACGAGGGTAAATGTGATTTAGCATAATCATTAATTTTTTACTGTTGCATTATCGATCGACATAAATAAATTGTACTAATAAGTTTGAAAGTATACACAGCTTTCACTAAAACAGGGAATAAAATATTTCCTTCCGTACAGATAATTAAATTATTTTGATAAATACTCGTGGATAGTCTATGTAATACAATACGTTATCCAATAAATATTTATATATATACTATATACTATACTTGTAAAGTACAAATTTTGTGAAGAGCAAAATACACAATGCATAGTACTCTAGCAGTATTTATAAAATTGAAGAAACTTGTAATATGTTTACATATGCAAAGTATTTTTGAAATATTGATTGGTAACAAGAATATTCTAATTCAATTTTACTTAAGATCGATGATGCACTTTCATAAGTAGTGCCTTTTATATGTTCTCATTTTTATGCAAATATTTTTTTGTTATTGAAAAACAGAAAAGATATATTTGTATAATGTAAAATATTTAAAAGGACTTGGCTAATAATGTTTTAATAATCCAGTTTTGAAGAATCAATCGAGAAAATTTTTCACCTAATACTAAAAGAACTGCACAATGTTTCATTGTTAGAAATAATATTGTTTCAACAAATAAAAATAAAATATGTATCTTATTTAACAAATTTTATGTTCAAATAAAACGAAAAGTGCAGTATATTTAATTCTAACTTGAGAGTTCTTTGTAACATGATGAGTAATATAATTTTTTATCGAAAATTTCGTAAAAATGTTATTATTTCCATTTCTTTAAAAAAGAGAATATCGAAATTTTGATAAATATTATCATTAAAGATATCAGAAATGAATACGACGATTATCTTTTATTTACAAACTTTTATTCAAATACTCTATAAATAGCGACGGTATTTTGTCAGTTTCGATTTGTTGTATCTTGCTGTAATTTAAGAATTGTCTTCTCAGCCTTGTTAACTGTGGTATGCTAGCAGAATTCAGCAATATTACATTATACTTTGGAATTTTTATATTATATTCAATGCCTAATTGTTTTGCTGATGCAATTTCCTAAAAAATTAAGGATATCAATAACTCAATTTCTAGCAGAGATAGTTTGTTATAATTACTTACATTTATGATATCTTGAGTTATTCTGTCCATTTCATATAAATAATTGGTTGCTGATAAAGGAGGCTATTATGCAAGATAATTGAATTTAATATAATGATAAAATTCAAATAAAATTATATAAATTGAAAAACACTAACACATTGAGTACTCATGTTTGGTTTTGGAGCTTTGACCTCATACAGTGAAGAATAAATTTCTTTACAAGGAAGTTGATCTTCTGGATTTACAATAAACAATGGTGAATCCCAGCGATTTTTATTGTCAGGTGGTTCATACCTAGATAGCATAACTTTGTTAATAATCTAATACTGATTAATTGTAAATGAACGGAAAACAAACAAACAACTACTATTGATACCTCAAGATTAAATCATCAAATATTTCTCTTGAATACTGTTTGTTATCAGACCTTTTTTCATTCCACAGCCAAGCATGCTCAATTGGTAAATCACACTGGACAGTACATTGCGGAGTTTTATACAATTTGCTCATACAATAAATTTCATATCTGTAGCCTTTAATATAATTACTTCCATCAATAATTAAAACATCTGACTGTGTAAGAAGTCTCTGTGCATTTGATTTGATATTCCCTCTGATTAATTTTTCTTGTTTAGAATCTGTGAAAGCATTTGTAACATAATATTATGCCATTCACATGTAAAAAATTTACCAGACAGAATTAAAAGGTTATGGATATTCTACTTCATCAGGAAATATTTACTGATACTGACGCTGTTATAACAATTTCCAGAAATATAAACAAATTCCCAAAAAATTAGTTATTCACCTGCGTAAAAACTATTTTTATTAAAAGTTGCTTTATCAATAGTTTCCTCTTCACTGATGATTTCAACCTTCTTTCCTCTTGTTTCGAAATAATTTTTTAATTCGTTAGCCCTTGTAGTTTTTCCGCTACACGGGGTACCGGTCATGATTATTAACGGCATTTCAAACAATAAATAATCATGTAATTGATAACTAAAAACTTAATAACCTACAAAAAATAACAATCCAAACACACGCAATCTTATATATATTTATGTTATGGGCACCGACATTTTTTAAATGCGCGTACATCATGCGCAATCGTACGTTTTTACTATCAAAGCGGCAATTTGATTTATTCGAAGTTACCGAGGAAATTGATATGTTCGAGATAAAAAAATTATTTACAACTTAATATTTCTGTTGATGATCTATTAAAATTATCAAGTTTCAAAGACTTTATTATAGTTTCAACGCTTTTATTTGTTTTAGTTTTATGAAAAACGAGCTTTTCAATAATACTAATTTGAAATCATTCTTTCAGCTTCTTTGAAATGTAAAAAGCTTTTTTTATTTTAATTAAATGAGGACTGTCCAATTGGAGAAATAAATAAATTAACCAAGTTTCTGCAACAGATAAGCAATACATATGATGAAACTGTGATTAAGATGTTTGACTAATTTACGTTGCTCAACCAACTTACTAAAGGTTAATTTATTCGCACAGAACAAAATCTTTCGTTGCAAAAAAATATCAACTTATGACTTAACTATTCGCGTAATAACGACAATCTGTCGAGAGAAAGAATTTGCACTGATTATTGATCGTAAAGAATTCTTTGCATTTACACACTGAAAACAATTAAGAGCACAGTCCACGGAAAAAAATCGTGTTATTATGAGAATACCATTTGATTGTTTGAAAAGGAAGCTATTTTTTCAGCATGAATAACGTGACAATTCACTTTAATTTTCATCTCGAATAGAACTTGGAAAAAGCTAATTTTCTTTCATTGTCGCAATTAATTCGATTGTCCAAAATGCCACGAGAGCCGGTCAAAGGAAACTCTTCTAACGACCATTTCAGTATTTTCAAAGTCACTACAAAGATCGCATAAAAATGTCAGGATACAGCGAGTGTTCGACTGAACAAAAAATGAACTGCAGCTGCCTGCTACTGCACAAAGAAAAAAAGAAATGATCCTGCAGTCATAAAGAGAAGTAGCATTCCCACTAGACAGATGACGCAGCCGATCGGCGCGACGAGCCTTGCATTTTTACATAATAATTCACGCTCGTAAAAAGCACGCTCAACTCAAATGGTATTATTGAGAAAAGTGATGAAGAAGAAGCCGAAAGAGGAGTGGTGCCTTACGGTTAAAAAAAACAATATAAAAAAAAAAATAAAACAAACAGGTCGAGGAAAAGGAAAGTAGCGCGCGGCGAGCAGGCTTATACAAGTGAGAATAAATATCGATCTGCGGACTCCCGAGTGGCTGCTAGGATTTCAGGTGTAGCGCGCTCGCTCGTCCGTACGTCCGGTGTGTTGCGGGTGTACTTAAATAATGAGTATACGCCGCATACACGTACACCAACGTGCAGAATAACAGCCGGCACGCGCGCGCCTCTGTATATTCAGCACCGTGTGGCATATGTTTTTCTTGCGCCCATCTTCTCGGCTGATGCGCCCCTGGTTTCCTGGTTTCACCGTTATTTTTCATCTGCAGCCCAAAATGCTTTTCCGTTTTCATGCTCGACTCTTATCTCTGATCAATGCTTCTGTATTATGAAAATTGTCCATTCTTATTAAATAAGAGAAGTGGGCAGAAAGCAGGGAAGGGATTTGAAATTCTCTCTCTCTCTATATATATATACATGTGTGTGTGTGTGTGTGTGTGTGTGTGTGTGTGTGTGTGTGTGTGTGCGCGCGCGCGCGCGCGTGTGTGTGTGTTTGTGTGTTGCGGCTTTTAGGTTAGAATCGCAACTTCGTTGCTTATTTTCGGCTTCTCATAGCATAAAATATCGCATACAACTAGTGCATAAAGGCTTTTTGGAAACGAATTACAGCACTCGCCTTCGGCTCGTGCCGTAAACTCCTCGTTTCGTGAAACAAGCCTTTTCGCACTCGTTGTATAATATACTGTTAATCGCCAGGTGCGAATAAAGCGAAATATAAGGCCTCGCCTCGGCGCTCGCTTAGCTCGCTGCCTCGACCTTATACTATCCCGTGCTACAAACATTCTCCTCAGCCGTATTCGCCTTTCGTTCGCTCCTGGCACATAAATAAGTAATATCGCAAAAGGTGGATTGACTATTATAATACTAAATAAAGCCATTGCAAAATTTTATTAACTCTGCGATTCATAAGAGAATTTTTTCGTTCGATAAAACTATAATATAAAAATATATAACTCAATCTGCATTCGCTGATGAATAAGTAAATGTTTTGTAATACTATCACATATACTTTGAAAATATAAAGGTTTTACAAGTTCCAGAAGCTATAAAGTTACCATTTATATAATAAAATTGGTATTTTTTTGTAAAAAGCGCTTTATGCGTCATTGGATAAACTGATTATTGGTATAATATGAACAGCCAGTGTTGACTCGTGATCACAGTCGTATGTCTTTTAAATATCCCAGTCGATTACGCGAAAGAAACTCTGATACAGGTTGAGTTAAATCGACAAAATTCAGCCTTTAAATCGAAAATATCAACCTGTCCAAGGTTTTAGAAAAAATATGAATCTCAAACATAGATCGTTGTTGCTTAACATCAATCATCAAATGTGATTCACCGTTATTTCGCATTCGTACAAATTTCAACTTGGAATATCTGAAATTGTTGAAAAAGCCACTCGACCAGTTTTACCGGGACGCTAGCGAGAAGGATTCGTAGTTTTAAAATCTAAGTGAAAAAAAGGTATAACAGTTGATTTGATCCAAGCTCAGGAGTGTCTTCATCGTTAAACGTGTCGCGCATACGAGCGTTTTATCCAATTAAAGAGCACTTCAATTGAATCTAAGCACTTCAATCCCAAATTGTACTTAACGTTCGCTCTTCACGTTTTCTTCTCGCGAGACGAATTTTTCCCCCGTGCAATGTAAGGAAAATTTGTAGGGAAACGTCCAGTAGCTCTTGCGATCGTCGATACCTCAATTTATATACTATACATCCAAGCGCGTAGAGGGTCTCTTGTCCACCGAAAAGCCATAGGGGCTTTGCCTTGGTCACACGGGCGCGCGCACACACGAGCGAGCAAGCAAGCAAGCAAGCAAGCAAGCGACTCGTGCGCACGCAGCGGCAAACTTGGAGCCGTGGCGCGCGAGGGAGAGCAGCGCAGCAGCAGTTGGTGTCGGGCGCGCGCGAGTTCAGCCATCAGTTATAGTCCGGCATCGGGCCAGCGTGAGCGAGTCCGCGTCCTTTCCGCCCAGCCGCACGAGTCCCGTGTTGTCGGTCGTCGACAGCGCGCCGAGGTAAGTGAGCGTCCAGCCGCAGGAAGCCGCTGTTTTCACGCGCAACGATAATGCTGGCGGTCAAGGCGCTGCTCCTCGCGGCTCTCCTCTGCGGACTCGCCACCGCCTACGACACCAGTAAGTCTACACCTCGATCGTCGCTCCTCTCCTTTTGCCGGCAACGTAATTGACAGTGATTGATGTTGGTGCGCGCGCCCGCGTCCGCGCCTTATTCCGATAATAAGCCCGATCGTTGCGTGCGTGCGCTTCTCTTTTTTGCTCGTGCGTTCGCGTCCTTTCGGCCAATCGAGAGATCGAGCCGATTGCTCGCGCAGCTGTACTTCGGCCCGGTACAGTCGCAATTCCTATTTTATTTTGTTCGATCTTTTGCTTCGAGCTCTTTTCAAATCGGAAGTCCGAGTGAAAGGGTATATATACGCGAGAGGAAAGAACAAAAACGAGAAGCGAGAAACACGATACCGATGAAAAATCGCTCTTTCTCTGTCGCGCGATCGTAAGGTTTCGGGACGCGTGTGCTTTGCCCTAGCGAGCGCATATAATATCGATTGTTAATGCGCAAACCAAATATCCGACGGACGAGCCTCGAGGGCGCGATCGATTTTTCGACGATCCTTTCGTCGCTTGCCCATCGCGTCCCATTCGGAGATACGCAAATATCGACGTGGATGCCACAACGAGGAACAATCGAACGTGCGCGCGCGGAGCTTGCGAGGAGCTCTGAATGACAGTGTAAATGTAATAGACCGGACAGATGAGTCAACGCTTCGGGACAAAAGAGGCGTTGCAGATTGCACGCGAAATCCGCGTGAGAATCGCGTACGCAGGGACGAAGAAAGCGCGTGCCCGTTAACTGACGCTGCGCGCGCGGCCTTGGCAAATAATTAAGGCGCTATATAGAACTCGACGAGTCGAAAAAGCGAAAGATTCCCTTGTATACTGTTACGCGCGCAAACAAAAGAGCCGAAGCCGCGCGCGCGCCCAAGAAAGAGAGAATAGCGTCGCCGTTATTATCGATTTGACGTTCGGGGAGAAGGGCGTCATCGTTACTGGGTCGTATCTTCTTCTCGCTTATCTCGCGCGTCAATCTCGTCGGTGAAGGGCTACAGAAGACATCGAGGCCGAGCAGCTCCTACCGCACGTGAGCGCCGATCGAGCGAGGAATGCTCGTTCTCGTTACGAGTGACAAATTCGCCGATTATTTTTTTATCGATGCCTGGCTGCACTGCGAGAAGGTCTCTTACCGTTCATTACCGATGAGTGTATTTGTAAACATCGCGTAAATCCTACCCCCTGTAGCATTTGCACTTTAATGGCTTTGGCTTTTCTCGCTGAGAGAGGCTACGAGAGAGACGGGGGCAGGGGACTGATTTTTCATGCCCTCTCCCACCCATGCCCGCTCCCTCGTGCATTGACGGTTCCGTCGTCGAGATGAACTTAGCAGTCCGCCCCCCAGCTCTCTCATCTTTGATTCTCGTAATGAATTGATGATTGCACCGGACGCTGCGCGCCGTTTTATTTTCGTTGGTTTGGAAGGGAAAAGACATCGCTTTGATTTGTACTGCGCGACTCACGACTCTACGCCGTGACTGCTTAAGCTCGAGCAAAAACGTACGCGAACGCTGTCAAGATTGTTCCCCCGCCCAAAGTCAGACTCGAGCGACGAAGAGTGACGTTTGTCAATTATACAGTGTTTGATAATTAGGTGTTCGACGCCGGTGCGCAAGCCGAAATGACCGTTATGCGAGCCTTGCGAATTCGGCGTGGTAACGAGCTTCGAAAACGTGGTAACAAGCTGACTTTCGCGGAACGGGCCGCAAGCGCGACGCAAGCGCGACGCAAGCGACGGCTCGTCAAGCCTGAGCGCAATAACGATCGTGGTCTCGTTGGCGAGGCGGCGGACACTTGGACCTTGCGTGGAAGAAGCTTATTATTATATTAACCGGATTACCGCAGTTTTACGAAGACCTCGCGAGCGCGCGGAGCCGCAAGAAAATCGGCAAGCAAGCGGTACTTCCGCGTCATCGGCGATATCTCGTTCGCTCTCGCGCGTCTTATCGCACGGAGCACCAGCGTCTACGATCGGCAGCCTGCAGTGCGCCTCGCTCCTCGCGATCTCTGTCTCGCAGGCGATACGCTCGCGGTGGCTATTCGAATTCGTGGACTTGGCTGGCTCTCTCCGTTGATCGTATCTCCCCGTGAAATCGAACGCACTCTCGACTACGCTCGTCGGTTCGCGCGTTCTCGGACCATTAACCCGGCTTTTTTTTTTTTTCCTTTCTGGAATGTCGGTGCAAGCTTCGCTCTCCCCCCCGACGCTCATACATAATGTCGTTTTCGCCGGTACATAGCGCGTATAAAGACGAGCGTACGTCGGGGGCCATTGCTTCGGCAAGGGGTGTACGTGTATATCCAGCGTGTACAGTACGTGACGCATACACATCAGAATTTTTCTCGCTGCGTAATAGCGAACCAGCTCGATCGATAATTGTACCCTTAATTTCGTCGGCCTTTCCACGTCATCCCGACAGTTGGCTGTATACGCGTAGTCCAATGAAATTCCAACGAGTTTTCTAAATTAAAGCGCCCTGCGTATATATACCTTCCCTTTTATTCGTTTCGGAGCGGAGCATGATAGAAAGATTTTTCGCCTCGTGGGTTCGGATAAAAAAAGACGTCGGCTTATCTAATGTGATTAAATGGGACGGGGGTTATTTTTGATTGGACGCTGAAAACGACAAAAAATTCCGCAATCACACGTTCATTTGTATCGCTTATCGGCCTGAACAAATACATAAAAATAGAGGAAGAGAGAGAGGGAGAAATCCGTTTACGTGTCATCGATACGCAGCGAATATTGAATTAGTCCGTCACTCCATCACCTATCGGTCTGTCAAATACAAAGGGAATTCACCAGTCCGGAAAGTTTTCTCACGAGCGAGTGAGCAGTGCGTGCATGTATATGTACACACATGAAATATCATAGCGAAAGCACGCCTTGTTATTTATCGCGCACACTTCCTGCTCCCTTTTACGCGTCACACGCACGCAAATCGATACTCCACAAACGTTCAAGGCGCACGCAAAGCTGACGAAAACTGAAACGGCCTTTCTTGTCCAGCCCACGATCAACGCGATCGCGATCGATCGCACAGCCCTCACGATCGAGCGAGGAAGCCACGGCACGACAAGTACGTGGCCTGCTACTACCAGAGCTGGTCGATTTACCGCAACGGCGATGGCGTTTTCCAAATTGCGAACGACTTGAAGCCCGATCATTGCACCCATCTGATCTACGCGTTCGCTGGACTCAACGGCACCACCAACGAGATCAAGAGTCTCGATCCTTGGGCTGATTTGTCGGACACCAATGGTGAGCGCTCGATTACTCTTCCGCTCCTCCTCCTTTTCCGCCGCCACGAGCCGCCTGCTCTACTCGTCTACACGGAGGACGCATCCTTTTGGGATCGCTCCATCGAAACTTGTCGCGCGGGCGCTTTGCCAAAGCAGACGATTAAAGTCAATTAACGTCGATGCGTAGCTTGGCCGCGCAAAAACTCGACAGCCTATTTATTCATTCTTGACGAGTACGGCAAGCGGCCAATTTTTTCATTGCTAGGATCTTTTTTCTTCTATCTACTTTTCGATTCGCTATATTCTTTTCATTATTTACGTAACATAACTTTATCGACTGAAGGTGTTTCGAGCTGCGCAAGACCAAAATGCGACTCGAGGCACTTTATTTTCTAATGTAAACAATCTAACATTTTGTGTTTTTTAGATGTTATAGTATCTTGTATCGTAAAAAGTTGGCATCTTATGAACGTTAAATCCTGTAATGCATCGCTAGCGGATATCGATACTTCTCTATCTCTCAACTAACGTTAACTCTCAAACACTGAAAACACTCAACAATCAATTTTTTCTTTTTACTGTAGTACATAAAACTTTTGACACAATAGAAAAAAAAGATAAGAACGCAACACAACAACACAAACAATAAAAAGTCACTCAACATTAGACGTCAGAGGAATACATACTGAGAAAAGTCCTCGGGAAAAGCAAAATTCCATAGCTACATAGATGTTGATGTTCTTTGATTAAAAAAAAAAAAAATAACAAATAGCGAGTTGGAGGTAAAAATTAACGAACCTTATAACGCTCCAATATTGCTGTGTGTTGTGTGCCAGTTTTATCTGTAATATCTGTGTTCCCGTGCGCGGCCGTTAACAGTGAGCAACATTGGTTTTGATAAATGTTTTATATGCAAAGATCCATTTTCCTCAGGCAAGGGTGGCTACAGGGCATTGACCACTCTGAAGTACGCCTACCCCGGCCTCAAGATCTCCTTGGCCGTGGGCGGCTGGAACGACGGCAGCGTGAACTACTCCGAGATGGCCAGAGATCCCTACCGTCGCAAGCGATTCATCAACAGCGTCGTTCACTTTCTGAGGTTGGTCGCGTTGAGGCGAGAGGCGCGCCGCAGTCCGTTGGCGCAGCGGCGTCTGACGAGCGTTTCCCTCGTTCCCTTGTTCCAGGACGTACGGCTTCGACGGCGTTGACCTGGACTGGGAATTCCCGACAGCCCGAGGCGGCCGGGAATACGACAAGTGGAACTTGGTGAGCCTGCTGGAGGTATGACTAAAAGCAGCCGCGCGCTAGACCGCGAAGGCCGGGTCTGCGTATCGACTTACGAGCGAAACCGTTGTCGCGCATTGTCGCGCGACGCGTGTGCAGGAAATGAGGCACGCCTTGAAGGAGCACCACTTCATCCTGACGGTGGCCATCTCGCCCGACGTTGAGAGCATGACGCGGCGCTACGACATCCGCGGCATCGCGCAGAACGTCGACTACGTGCACCTGATGACCTACGACTACCACTCGCTCGACGGCGGCGTCGTCATGCCCAACGCCCCTCTCGACGAAGTGGTAAGTTCGAGCGCAGTCCTACGTGTCTGCCCGACGCCTCACCACCACGCTCCTCTTGGCCGTTCGCCTAGAACAAGACGCTGGACTACGTGCTGAGCGCCGGTGTGTCGCCGCACAAGTTCGCCCTGGGTCTACCCATGTACGGACGAGGCTACATCCTGGCCGAGCCGCTCAGACACACGAACGAGAATCCCATCGGCAAGCCGAGCCTGAAGACCAGCTGGCCCGGACCCTACAACAGCCAGGAGGGCTTTTTCGGCTACAACGAGGTGCGTTGACGTTTAGCCGGCGCCTTGGCCGCGTCTTTGCTCAACGGTTCTTGGCTCCGCAGATTTGCAAGCACTTCCTCGGCAACGACTCGTGGATCGATCGCTGGGACAACTTGAGCAGCACGCCCTACTCGATTCACAGGCACAAGGTGGTCGTCTACGACAACGTGAAGAGCCTGCAGGCTAAGGTACGCCGACGATCTCGACGAAGTAGAGAACGCATTGACGAGCGGAGCCGTTTGTCGAGCAGGTGCTGCTGGCCATGCAGAAGGGCCTGGCCGGAGTGATGGTGTGGAGCATCGACACGGACGACTTTCGCGGCGACTGCGCGCCCTTGCACGAGCGCAACCGCATCGACGCGCGCGACACGCAGTACCCGCTGATGCAGGCGATCACGCACGCCATCGAGCGCGGCGCCAGCTCGGCCGTCGTCGCCGATCCCATCGGTCTCGCTGTCGTCGTTGTCCTCGCGAGCCTCGCCCTCTAAAGGCGACTCGCCGCGAACCTACGGCCTCGAGTAGTTTTTTTCTGCAGCGGACAGTCACGACGATCGCGACGGTGACTGTCGAGTGCGCGACCGACCACGAAGCCTCTTCTTTTTCATTACCATTATTATCGGATTTCACGAGTCTGCGTGTATATAACCACTGCTCTGCTTTCGTTCCATTGCCTGCTCTCGCGCGATACCGTGCCCGACGATCGTGCTGGGCCTCACGTCTATCTACATATATATATATATATATATATATATTACGTATGTGTGTGTGTGTGTATATATATATATGTACACCATCTTGTTTTTACAATCCCAATGAACAATAATAAGCTTTAACATTGTACAGGCAAATTCTTCTATGAACGATAGGATTGATAACTAGAACTGTCGAGTACTATATACGATATGATATCCTAAATTATAAGTATTGCCATAATTAGTCAAATGCAATACTTGTAAGCGGTTTTATTTTCTGCGCTTTGCAATTGCAGACGTGTCCGATTGTGTCTCTCGATTGGTCATTTTCTTTTTCACCGAATGCCAGGTATTTATAAATTTTCAACTAAGAATACGTTGCATGCAACGTTAAATTGTAGTTGTCGGCACATTACTACGAACTATCATTAACCATTAGTTGAACGATATGTAAAAAAGTGTTATTAAAATTAGTAATTTACGTAATGACTATTATTAAGCGAGCAATGGCATTTCTTCAATCAAAATTCAAGAAACGAAAGGCAAACGAGTTTTTTCGGCACTGGTCGCACTTTTGATTGAAGAAAGTTCGGACAAACATGCGCTTTATTCGGACAGATAAAATAAGGACATTGGACGATTGCAGGGAGGAAAGTAGAGAGATCCTCGTACGCGTAACGCGTATTTTGCTAATTGTAAGAGCCGACGAGTGTTGTCTGTAAAAAGAATGGCAGCTCGTCGGTGTGTCTTCGACCGTCATATATAACGTAATAAAGTATTTTTGTATCGATCTTATCAATGGTAATAGTAACAATATGTCGTAACTTGGTGGATTTCATTAATCCACGATTTCCCGACAGTTTTTCTTTTCGTATCATCGCAAACTCTGTAACTGTAATTTATACTCTGTAACTACATCATTATAACTGTACGCTCTGACGATTGATTTTCTTATTTTCTTTTTGTAATAAATAAGTTGTATCGACGCATCGTGCAACCCGAAAAAGTAACAAGACCTTACCTCTTATTCTTATTCCACCCTCGCGCACGTAAAATCGATAATCTGCCGGACACGCGGCAGAGAAAAACAACGCGGGACAGCGTCGATGGAGCGCGTGCGCGCAAGTTGGATTTGGTACCGGAAGCGGTGAGAGGGTCCACTAGACATTCGAATGCACGTGGCCGGTTGGGAGAGGGGCTGAAAGGGGAGTGACTCATCGCGACTGGCGTCGTCGCGGCGCGCCTTTCCGCGCCTTTCCGCGCCAACCACCCTCCCTCGCTGACGACGCCGTTACGCGTAAAAACCCCGCCTTCCACCCCCTCCCAGCGAAAGGCATCTTTGCGCGCAATGGCAGTGGATCATTTTTACCCAAGCCTGATTTTTGCCGCTCGTCTCGATGAATTGCTCCGCCGTGGGGGGCCCAATCTCCTCTATTTTGTTTTGATTTCTTCGGTCGTTCGCCGACGAATTACTAGTCGGAACCTCCTCGATGCGACGTGATCCCAATGTATGCACGTGTGCGCGCGCGTGTAGGTTGATACTCGAACTAAAAGCTCTGTGCCTGGCTGTCCACGTAAAGTCGGTTGATATTCGAGTCGAGCGCCTAGATAGGATATCGAGCTGCGTCGCATGCGTGCAGCCGCTACGTACACGTATGTGCAGGCTTACGTTTGCTGCGAGGGTGGGTTTGTTGTGCGTATACCTGGTGCTTTGATATCGGAGCTTCGAGGGCGCTGTCCCGCCGCGACTTTTCAGGGTCAACGACTCTGACTTCTACGCTCGTTCCGTATGCTAAGGCGCATTTCTCTCGAAATCCGGCGACGCGCGGTCATTTCAGACACCATTTTTCTGTTATTTATCACGTTATTTCAATTATTTACATTCTAACTTTGAGGTTCTAATATAGAATATATATACACATATTTGAATAAATCGTGCTGTATGAAATACACTATATCAATCGATATTCACTGATGAATAAAAAATTGAATTTGCACCCCTTATTTTACCAAAATCATTGAACTTTTACTCATTTTAAGATGTATCGAAAAATTATCGAAAAATAAAAATTTATTTTATTATAAACTTATAAAATGTACTAAACTATTATAAAATCATACAACAATAAACTTTACTCAATACAGTGGTTTTCTATGGCCCCTGAGTTCTATTAGATTAGTAATATATATTAATATATATATTAAACATCTTTTATTCTTCTCTTATTGCCTCGTCGAAATCACCCGTAAACATTCTTCAAATTTAATGATATGATAATTAGTTTCCGTTGCCTGCATACTTCTAATTTTGCAATGTAAAAAAATAAAATTTAAATTGTTTTTTTTTAAGATAGGAAGAAGGGATAGGAATAAACAGAGCCTTATACTCATTGTCAACCATTGCGGTAATTTTAGCTTCCCCCCCCCCCCCCGTTCCTAATAGCTTCGCTTGGCTTTATTCTGCATAAATATAAATATTCTCCAAAATCGCTTTTGTTGGACAACGTAAGCGTCAAACTTGAACATTCGTGCGTCTGTGCAAACATCACTCGTAGGCAGGAGACTTAGAAAAAATAGTGCAAATCGATACCGATCCAAATTGAAAAAATTGAAATTGGAAGAGCTCGATTTGGCCCCAGGAAAGTGAGAAAGATAGACGGACAGACAGACTGTCAGGGTATTGTGCATTACGCAAGGGAGGAAAAATAATAACAGGCTAGATATTTGGAATGGCGAGGGGTAAAAGAGAAGTGAGTCATCGGCGACGTCGACGTAGCTTGGCGACGTCCTGTCGCCGCGGCGACCTCCCTACCGCGCTTTACGTGTTTGTATATCAACTCCATGAGTATACACTCTACCATGAAAATCCGCGTTGGATAAAATTCTTACGCCGAGTTTCCGGGTCATCGATTTTTTTTTTCTCGAAAAGCCACGACTACGGACACTTGGCTCTTTATTTGAGCGATTCTTTGTTGACGTGTGCTGAAGCGATATAAAACATTGCCAAGCGAAGTGCACGTTAGCGTAATGAGTTTTCGCGCTATCTGTAGATACCGTGTGCGTTGTATATCTTTTTGATTAATGTAACCAATGAATGTTGAGTGGATGAGAGACATTTTTATTCGACAATGCGAATAAGGCTGCGAATTGAAAGTTTTTAACAATTTATCAACATTATCATTTTTTTCAAGCTACTGATATGGTGTAAAGCTTTCTGTTGACAATTTAACAATGCCAATATATTCCGCTTTATAACTCTTCTTCTGAACGTACAAAAATTAACATGACATAGAGGTAAAATGAAATAGCGAGAGGCAAAATTATTCAATTAACGAATGCAAATTTTCGAGCGAGGCCAAACTGTGACTGCTTGAAACATTCTAAATCTTGACGAACAAAGTTTTTTCTTCGGCGGCGATAGGAGCGGAAGTAAGATAACAAAGAGAACGGAAAAGACCTCAAAGATATTCCTCCACACGTAATTGGTCCAGTTAAAAGAAAAAAAAAATGGAAAAAAATAAGAAATTCAAGAGCGTAGTTTATTTGGGATGATGAAGAGCTAAAGTGGAATGTCTGCTTGGCGAGCGCAGGGCATTGTCGGCACGCGCTGCGCATTAACCTGGAGTTAATTCATCAAATTTAATATTTTAATGAAGGCAAAAGAGGAACAGTTAAAGCGAGCGGCATCCAAAGCTTCTTTTACTCCGGAGCGCGCAACCCGTCAAGTGGATCAACTGCAAATGCCACGCGTTTAAATACTTATCTGGTACATTTTTGTCCGCTCGCTCACTCTATCAAACGCTTTCGGCAAGGGCCTCAATTTATTTAGGCCTGTAGATCGATAGATGGCAAATCGAAATGGGTCAATTACTACAGCCTTTACATCAATGTTTAATGCTGCTCGCACTGATCGATAGGTCCACTAAAATTTTCCACGGTTCCTTGTTTACTTCACGCTGCAACCTTAAACGTCCTTTTCTTCCGAAATAATTATACGTAGATTATTGTATTTTCGTAAGTTCACGCTATAGAAATTATATTCATCTGCAATTTTACCTTTAGGCACTCGAATTTTTTTAAATAAATTCTAAAATTAAGTTCCACACAGCAAGGACGGAGCTTTCTTTTCTTTTTATCGTCTTGGAAATTTCGTCGTATCGTTACGAATGTTACTTACAGTCAGCTCATTGGAACGTCGACTCTCAAATCAAATTTCACGAATGAAGGCTTATCAATATTAATATGTTTTATACGTAATAAATTTACGACAAATACCTTGAAAACACAAAAGAGAAACCCATAATTAAGTACCTTAAACATGTATTAATCAATGTAAAATAAAATAGAATGGTTTTCTTCTGACCGTATTTGATTGAAACCATTGAAACACAGTGCAATAAGAAACTTGCGACTTGATCAATAAAAGTCGACTGAAAAACCGGCGTTGAAAGAAAAAAACAAGGAGCAAATCGCATCCGTTTCCGTCTAATCAAGAATCCCATATACCATTTGCGTGAAAAAAAAAAAAAAAAAATTCAGCTCGAATAATAAAATAAAAATAAAAAAAAAGCAACACACATCGGCAGTAATTGGAGGCAGCCGCGCGGTACACAGAAGAGTGGTGGTGTTTTTCGCCCCTCCCTGTCGAGTATGGACTCCTACACAGAAGAGCGCGCCGGCGTACACAGCCGGCTCGGCTGGTCACAGCGTCAACGGACAAACAGAAGCGCGCGAACCTTCGAGCCAGCAGCTTTGGCATAGAGGAACGCCCGTTCAGGAGGATACCAACGACAAAAGACCAACTTGCGTTCTTGCTCGTGATTCTCTCGGAACAAGTTCGAGGATGCTACCGAGGGCCTCCTTGCTGCTCGTCGCTGTCGGCGTTACTGTCGTCGCGACAGCCAGCTACAATACTGGTGAGTCCCACATCGAGCTTATTTTTACCTGTTTAACGCGCTTTCATATTTTTCGAGCTGCATGTTCGCACGCTGCCACGGACAATTCTCATAAGAAATTGGATTCTTCCAAAGACATACGTCAACGACGTACTAAGCTCGACGGGCACGTCATTAAAGAGCGCACCAATCTTTATTGTCGTTTTAATTGTGGGAGCCGAGGATAATTGAATTCGACACAGTTTTAAGCTTTGACAACGCTTCTTAACCTTCGACAAATTATTATTTCAACTCAATAGCACAGCAGGCGTTTGCTCGAGCACCTTACGTTCGTTTTCAGGATTTACAACATGTTAAAACTTATAATTCTCTTCCAAGATCGCACGCACGCGACGCGCGCATGAATTATTAGGCTCGCACGAGTCCACCTTGAACGCGAAAAAAAAGTGACGCCATCCCAATTGAAAAACTAGTGAGTTAGCGAGTGGTGGCGGTGGCGCGAACGAGGCGCAATTGTGTCTCCCGATATATGCGTTTGCCCGAAGTACCTAATTCGCACCGTGTGCATTACTTTCCCGAAAGAGAGGCATCGATGCAATTGTCGTCGAAGGAAAAATGCGATTTTATTAGATGGCGCGCGCGCGAAATACGCAGAGCGACGCAGCCGTAATGTGCTTTATAGATCGACTCATGGCAACCATTGATCCAGGCGAGGCCAAAGTTTTCGTACACACCGACGCCGCGCCTTTGTTTCGACGCCTCGCCGCTGCTTGGAGAACGCTGTAAAGTTCCACGACAGTAGCACCGACAACGCTTTGCTGCTGCACTTTGGCCCTTTGTACTTTTGTCTTTTTATTTTGTTTTAACTAACGTAGTTAAGCTTTTTGGTTGGCTCGCTGTCTCTGTGTAGCGTCGCCAACGACTCAATTATAATCTAATCCAGTCGGACGAACCCCCCCCCCCCCCCCCCCGTCGCTCTAATTGTCCGTCGTTGCATAATTCAGAGCGAGCGCGAGCGCAATGAGCAAGCAGAAAAAAGCCTATGAGAAAACGACTCCGAATAAATTATCGCGTATCTTGCTCTCTCCGCCATTAGTCGCAATAACGTATCCGTGCGCGCGTGTCGAGATCGTGCACCGGTGCGAAAGCGCACTAAAACTGTCGCGCGACGACAGAGCTGGGCACGAAGTGGACGGGCGAGGCACTTGGCTTCGTCAGTGCGGCGCCTCCTCCGCGGCTTTGTCCCCTTCAATTCGTGCAATTTAGCCGGTCGCTGCTGCCTCAGCTCCTTCTTTCTTAAGTTTTCTTTAATGCGCGCGACTTCCGCCGCCGCATATGCGACGCGCTTAATCGCGCTTCCACGTACTTTTCTCGCGCATGACGCGCTCCTGCATTCGATTCGTCGTGTCTCGTGCGCGCGCGCCGCGCTTCGCTGCGTTTTTAGGTTTCAGACGGGATGGGCTGCTGCGTCGGAACGTCGCACACTCGATTGGCTCGCGAGCCTTTTAATTCGAGTAAAGTGATCGTGCTCTTGGCCAACCTTCTATTTTTTTTCCTTTCGCTGCAAATTGAACGCTCGGAAGATGGGCATTCGAATAAATTCACTCTGAAAACGTACAAACGATTTTCCAAAAGAAACATACGATCAAATGTTACTTTTCTAAAATTCTTCTGCTCCGTTGTGGCTCTGCAGCAAAACAAAGGGCTTAACGTACGTACAGCGAACGACAAAAAGTCAGCGCGAACACTTATGTTCAAGTCTGCATACAGGCAGCGAAGGCAGCGAGCGCGCTGCTTTCGTAGTGCTTCGCTCACGGGACAGCAGATAAAATTTCAGTTATAGTAACGTCGAAAACGTTGGCTGTCGCGCGAAAATCGGCTTACGCACTTGGTATACGAAACAAGAAAGTCGCGCGCTCGCGTATCCACTTACGATCATGTTTATAACGGCTTTCGTGCGCCGCCAAGTGTCTTTTTATATGCGCCCGAAGTGCGCGCGAGGAGGGCGTTGCAGGTGTGGCTTTCGCGCGTTCGTTGGACTCGTGCGATGCCCCTGCCGTTTGCGCGCGTCTGTGCCAGCGGTCGATGCGCGCAGATACGACAATGAGGCTGCAATTGCGCATCGCATTGGTCACGGTGTCAAGGAACTTGGCGCCGCCGCTGAATCGCTACGACTGATTGCATTAATCAGTCGTAATTAATGTAGATAAAAAAAAACAAAAGGGGATGCGCACGCAATTATATCACGCGGATCATAAGCATGCAAATGCGGGACCATAAAATACCGGTCGGACGGACGCGTACGACCGCGAGTCATTCGCTCTAGTGCATTTTTCGTCGACCCTCTCCCTCCCATGTTCGTGCACATTAACCCGAGATGCCTTTCCGGGCGACGATGTCGAGCACCCCGTCTCTGCTCAGATTCCAGAGATGACTGAAAAATGAGAAAAGCAGCGCGCTGGCGCACAGGCGCGCAACGTCGAGAGACCGAACGGACAGCATTGCTCAGCGCTCAATTTCTCGTGCGTCAATTCACAATTAGGACAATGCGACGAGCGCGAACGATGTGAATTCCCAAAGCGCGATGGTGGTCTCGTTGCGCGGCGCGTCTGCCGAAAGAACTGTCGTCGACGAGAGCTGCCTCTCGAGAGACAGCGGTCACCGCCGTCGGGAAGTGCTCAGGTGCGAGAGTTCGGCTCGCGGAAGTGCGCCGAGGCCAAGCCCGTGGTCTTTTCGATGCTCGAACATTCGAGATTAGCGCGTCGCTGAGCGCGCTCTCGGCACAAGCGATTGCGCGATTAATTTTCGTTCGGCCAGATCTCGCAGTCGAGCAATAAACGGCTTTGCTTGAAATCGACGGGCGCCCTCGTAACGACGAGAAATGGAGCCGTGACCAAAGAAGCAAACCCTACGCGGATAGCGACTTTTTCTTCGACAAATGCAATCTCGCTTTTGCGCCGGAAAAGCTCGAGCTCCACCGAGAGAGAAAGAGAGGGGGGACACAGAGAGAGAGAGAGAGATTGACTCATAGAACCGGTCACGACGGCGCCTGTGCAGACCGGTGCTTTCCCCCCAGCGGCGCGTAATCTAACCATCTAATCAGTTTAATAAAATCTACGGAGCGGCATCCCGGTAAATGGAACGATGTGTTTCGGCGCGGCTGGGTGTCGTCTTAGCGCTTGTCGCCCACTGACGATCCTCGTCGGAGCCAAACTTGACGCTTTTACGCGTTCCCATTGAGCTCGCGTGCGCCTCGTCGTCGGCGCGCTCGTTTCGTCCGTTTCCGCCAAACGGACGTGCCACGACGACGGGGAAAAGACAAATGGCCATCGCTCGCTGTCGTCGTGCTCGCGTCGAAGAACTTTTCCTCCCTGTCGCGCATGCGTTCGTCTGCTAATTGATTTAGCGCGCGAAAGACTTGTACGGATTACCATCGCGCTTCCACTCTCTCTCTCTCTCTCTCTCTCTCTCTCCTGTCCGCGCGCGACAATCGATCTGAGCTTTTTTCTCGCGCCGATTCTGCGGCCTCAGCTAAATATTATGCATGAATTATTCATAGGACGCACAATTCGTTACACTTACTCGTGTTTGCGTGATCCGCTCAAGCTATATGTCTTCGCTTCGGGGTGGATGCGTCGACGCTCTTCAGACCTCTCTCTCTCTCTCTCTCTCTCTCTCTCTTTCCACCCTCTCGATTTATTCTACGCCGTGTTACACTCGACTCGCGTGAGTAATCATCGTGGCGTATAATTTGTATCTATATTGGGGCTCAAAATTACAAGGGACGCGTCCCTCGAAAGTAGAGAGTGAATCACTACTGGAGATCTGCAATTAAAAAGACTTTGAGCGCGCTCGCGCTTACGGAAGAGCTCATTTAAACACTCAACTCCAGTTTAAAGCGACATTGACGGAAGAGCTAGATAGAGTTTCACATCGCTGATACGCGCTCTGTGCCTTCCGTTCGTCGCCCAATCAGATCGAGATCGTACGAAAGGCTTTACCAGCCGTTAAGGCTCGATCGGTCATCCATCAACAGCTTGCTTCGATCAAACGCTGCTCCGATCAATCGGATTATAATTTGTCGAGTGCTGGTCAGTCAATGAATACTCGATTGCCCACAAAACTTGCCTCTCAATTATATTAAGTGTCGTCGCTCGATCGATGCGCAAGCAAGACGCGCGATTTTTGAGGTCGCTCGCAAACGAAACACACCGACGAATCATTAGCATATTAAAACGTACACGCGCACGCGGACTCGAGACAGTTATTATTATTACTTTTTCAAGTGCACACACATCTTCTCGAGCTGACCTAAGAACGCTAAATAGACGTTGATTAACCCCAATGAGGTTATTGTCGACATGCGACGACGACCACCAAGACGACATTGAGCAAGTAAAAAGTAAAAGCAGCAATATAGCAGTTGGAGCTGCCGCGGTGAATCGTGCAAAATCGGTATAGAAAGCACGCCTCCGACCCTTCGCGCTGCATCCTCTCCCCCGTTACAAACCATCAATCTCGTGACGTAACTCGTCGCTGTGACGCATCACCGTGTAGAGCGTACGTAGTAAAAATCATAAAACCAAGTGTGCAGCGATTCCCCTTACCGCCTCCCTGCCGTCGTTGCTGTCCGGCACTTTGCGTGTCGTCATCGCCAAAGACGGAAGGAAGCCCAGTTTCACATGGCTCGCATCGATTCCACGCGAAGCCAACACTCTGACTCACGATTTTCGGCCCGAGCAACAGGACAAAGGAAGCCTTGAAAACAACCGTAGCTTTTCTATATCTTAATTTGCTCTCGTTGCGTTCGGCAGTGTGTGTCCTAATTTCTCGAGTGCACAAGAGAGCTCCATGCTTTGTACGCCTCCGCTGTCGTTTTTTTTTTTTTTTCCGTCCATTCAAATTCGCGTCGCGTGCCAGTATTCCATGGGCAACAGCTGCTGGTAACGGAGCATGCGACAGTATAATAAAAGCGCTCGAGCCGCGTTTGAAAGAGTTGGATGTTCGTATACGGCGCAGAGGTGTGTCAGGGCCGATGTCATTTCGCGCACCGATGTTCGTTCGCTCGCTACCTTTCATCCTTTCCCGCTCCCAATAACCTGCGCATTTCTCTCGTCTGCACTAGTACGTAAAAATCGACACACATACCGCTTTCGTACCTGAAAAATTGCGTTTTTTCTTCAACTACCCATGAGCATTTGCCGGTAGGTTCCCTTCGCTTGGATTACAGGTTTACGCTTTTCACTTACACATTCGGCTATAATAGAGGTAATTAGCTGATTCAGGGAGGAAGCAGCGCATGTGGCGTGTTCATTTCGAAAAACAAGGGATTTCCTTGCCCGCCGTATAATAATTATGGTATAATTATCGTATAGAGAGGGAGGTCCCGTGATATATTTTATCGATGCAGCCCCCGTGATTCGACCAATTCGCCCTGCGATACGCCTTGTATTTATTTTAGTTTTTTTCGCTCATGGGCGGGCAATTAATGTCGAATAGATCGCGTATGATTGATATTTTCAACAATGATGATTTTTTTTTTCACGCGCGTGTCGTTTGCTTATTGTTGGCGTGAGACACGGGCGAAAGAAGAAAACACAAACAAACGCGAGAATCGATCGATCAATCTTATGATTTGTCCGTATACGTATGAACTTTGACTAAGCTTGTAAAAACAACTTTTTTTTTATACGCGATGAGATCGTAAACCTATAACATTATTACTATTAATAAGGAGTTGTATTGCAGATTACTCGCGATACGATTATAGAAAAAGATATACGCGTGATCGAATAACATACGAAGTTGATCTAGCGAAACAAATAAAATTGAAGCAAACAGGACAATTATAGATGAAAGCTCAAAGCTACTGCCACCGGCGATCAACCTAAATTATAAATCCGAAATTCCGGAGCTATAGAAAACATGGAATAACAAACCCCGTATTGATAAAAATTAAAAAAAAAATGTCGAAGTCTGAGTTTCGAAACAACACCCTTGACGGCAGGTAGAAATCCAAGCATTAAAGTCACTGCGTGTCTGTTATCGTGAAATATCCCTTGGAAGCACGGATCGACAAGAAATTTCTCGGCGTGTGTCCGTTCCCTCTCACTACAAATGAAACGTCGATTTTTAATATTTTTGTCTAAGGGGTGTAGGTGAGTTGCAGGTCGCGGTATATGCGCGAGTGACGTGTGTTCCTAATAGGGGAAAAAGAGAAAGAGAGAGAGAGAGAGAGAGAGAGGCAAAGGAATATTAAGCATGTGCGCGGGGTCTCACCGGGGGTACCCGCTGTTCGCTAATGATTATTACCTGCGCGCGCGAGAGCTCGACTGTTTTTTTTAGTGCGCGGCTGTTTATCTACGAAAAGTGCGATGTGCTTTGGTGACTCGGTAGAATTGATGATGGTTGAGATCGATTGTTTAAACATCGAGTTTTCTCATCGTTACTTAAAATGCAGACCGAGTTGGTTTTCTCATGAAAGAGACGTGGTTTATAACGGAAAACACCATTGTTTCGGCTGACGACTGCAACAACTTGTCTTGCCAACGTCTCGGCATCTGAGTCATTTCGGAAGTTTCGCTTAACGATCTCGATTTACAATGCAATGTGCCGTACTTACACGGCTAATAAGAAATATCCCGACTCGAATCTTTCGGACAAATAAAAACACCAGATGCTATTTCGGATTTCATACACAGTTGCAGTTGTAGTCTGCTATTTTTTTTTGCAATAACCACTAGCTATTTCATTTGGTTGATAGAATAATTAATCCAATTTCTACAAAGTAATACGAGGATATGACGAATGACGAATCCGCTTGCATCAACGCAGCACTTTGCTGCATTACGAAGTTCAACATTTCAAAAATTCTTACCAAGTGACTGCTGCATTGCGCAAAATATTCAGCTCGTGAAACGGTGTTCCGTCGTTAAATTATATTGGCCAAGTCGACGTTGTCGTAATTAAATCCACCTCGGCAAGGAATTTGAACTTATAATTACGACCTTCCACTCGTACTGTCTGATTTAAGCAATTAAGACAGTCGCTATTGCTGCACGTTACCAGTTCAGTTTATTAGGTTAAGATGAACCCTTGAAAAAAATGTTCCAATTTGACATGACTACAAGACTATGTCATGCGACTTGCCAATGTGAAATCTTACGCGATTCAAACACGAAATATAATTGGAATATGTTTTACATTACAGATTATGGTGGCACAAACGGCAGAAACGATAGATACGATAGAAACAATCCGAATTATCCAAGCAATAATCCCAACTATGATCGAAGAAATCCGTATGATCCAAATTACAACCAAAACAATTACAATCAAAACAGCGGTAGCTACAATTATAATCGAAACAGCTATGACAATCGGCAATACAATGAATATAATAAAGTGTATACCAAAAATGAAACAGCGATATTCTGTTACATCAATGCCACCAGACTCGACGAATCAAGAAGGTTTAATTCCGGCCCTTCAATGGACATTGAGCCCAGACTCTGCACTCACCTCATTATCGGAGCTGCTATAATCAATCCCAATTCGCATACGGTACGCCTACTGAACGAAGAAATCTTGACAAGGCAGGGTGAGTTAACACTCATTGGCTATAATCGGTTCTATCTAGTACTAACAATACATTGTATAATACATTTTGTTCCTGTTACTTACATCTGCATTTTACTTCATTCTTTTATGTTTTGAGCTAACTACTTTCTTATTCAAAATTTATTGTGATGTCTAATGTGCGAGCTTTTGTGGCATGCCCTAAACTGTACTTACCTTAATTTTGTTCATGATCAGTGGAGAAGTGGTCATTTGTAGATTTACAAAGTTAACATATTTAGCTTTTTTCTAACTATTTCAAAAAATCCCTCGATCGTTTGCAATTGACGTTCGCTATTGTGTTTGAAAGGTCATTTCCAAAAAATTATTTTTAAAGTAATTACCACTCTGTGTGAGCTGAAATTTGTTTATACTTGTTTTAAGTAAAGTATATTCATCGTGATAATTATTCGAAACCGAATTTTGGAGAATAACTTATCTCCGCTTCCCTGTCGCAATCATAGAATATTTAACTTTTAGAATAATATCAATGCTTACGCTCATAATAAAACTATTTCCCCTGATTTGATTGTTTGTTTGATCAATGGAATTTATTTAGTTGTTTGATTTAATTGTCGTGTTGGTTTGTATATGTGAGTATATGTATATTCTTCCAGGCAATGGTTTATTATCTTTCGACAATATTTCAGAGTTAAAAAGGGAGAACCCAAACCTCAAGGTACTTTTATCAATACACGGTAGTTCTATGGATTGGGCAAATATGGTCAAATCTCAACGTGATATTTTTATCAAGAGCATCATCGATATTTGTGGGTAAGTTTCCAAAGAAGACATTAAGTACGCTAAAGAATCACTCGGCGTAAAAGTAATGTCCGATTGTATACTATAGGAAAAATGTAACTCTATATAGCTCTGGTTTTTGTCTCATAAATTAATATTCAATAGAATAGTAGCTTATATAATAAAATGGTATATTTTTATGTCGTAAATTTTTTGAAAACGTTATAAAGCAAAGTATTTAATAATTTTTTCCATTATCCATGTCAACATTAGATTTGCTAAAACACTTAATTTTTTGCTTTTTCTTAACAGAAGCAAAAATGTTGGAGTGAACATTGATTGGCAATGGCCTGAAAGGAAAAATGGTCATGACGTAGACAACTTTTTCCAATTTCTTTTGGTAAAATATAATTATCTATTAATAGAAAACTGTGACAGCTAATAGAGGAGTACTAATAAATTTGTAATTTACAGGAATTAAAAAATGAACTTAGACGATTACCTTACGCATCACATGAACTGACAGTTTTCTTACCCGCCGAATATCAACAACTTGTTGATATTCTTCAACCCCGTGGTGACAACCGTATCGAAAATCTGTTGATGCAATATGTTGATTACTGGATTCTTATGGCTTTGGAGCTACGTGGACATTGGGACCAAAGAATTGAGCACCACGCACCGATCGACTCTTATATAGGCTCAAGACAAACTGTCGTAAGTCACATTTCGTTTCGTATCCCTTTTTGACTTTGAATGTCAAATACGTTTAATACGTTCTTTTGTTCGTTCGTAATTAGAGAAAAGCTATAAATGAAGTCCGTGGTTACGTTCGAGGTGAATACCTCTACAAATTCATACTAGCTATTCCATTTTATGGAAAGAGATACCAGCTTGCAGCAAGAGCAGATCGCGAAAGTCCAATGAATAAACTACAACAAACACTCCATACGAGTTATGATTATGATGGCATAATGAGGGTTGCCTATAATAAGGTATTTTGATTTTTATCGCCAAACTACTTATTGCGCTGTGATAAATAGTATTAATTAGCGTGATATTTTGTGCCAAATAGGTTTGCCAAGAGATAACTGGACGTGAATTCCAGCTTGACTACGACGAAACAAATGGATCTCCTTATGCCTATCACGACAATACCGTCTTTGTGTACGAAGACACTAGGTCTGTTAAAGCTAAGGTAAACTGTGTAACTTTTCGCAATCGAATATTAAATAACAATTTTTTCTATTATTTTTTGTACGCACACGAATAGAAAAAATATAGTGATCTAATTATTAATATATTGAATAATGGCCGAAAATTACAGACACGACTGGCACTTCAAAATGGTTTCGGAGGTGTCATGGCTTACAGCATCGAAATGGACGATGCTACTGGTCAATGTGGGCAATCTAGGCGCACGTCGTACGACAACAAGAACTCTTACAATAGCTACAGCTCAAACTCGGAATTGCGATTTCCATTACTCAACGCTATTAAAGACCAGGTTACACGAGGACATGCCGCTCAGTTTCACTCGAGTCCCTTGGCTATTATTCTCGCAGTTATCTGCGTTTTTATTCTCAAGGTTAACAATTGAACGGTCAATTATTCGATAATTGTCTGCTGATCGGAATATGAAAAAGCATTTAAGAAATTGTTTTCTTACTCCACTTTTTTTTTACTATCGTTCCGACCACTTTCTCACATCGCGCCTACACCTCTCGATAACTATAAGGGTGGGTGCGATACGTTTTAGTATTAAAACTGCTAATAGCAAACGTTAGAAATTATTGTGGATGTTTTTTTCTTGTATAATGTCGAACATTTTTTCATGCAAGTGTTTTATTCGTGTGAGTATTCCAATTTTCAACTATACGTATAATTGATATTAATAATATAGTTATTTGATATCGATATGGTATTCGAATATTATTGCTACTAAAGTTACTAAAATAATTGTCCAGTTTCATTATGGTAAACTCATTCACGATTCATGATAAATATATTATTTTTGTGAGAATTTAATATTTATCTCATTTTTGTATATTGAAATAATTTAATTTTTCTTCGCAGATGGATGTTTTGTATACAGCTTTATATAAATTATATAGTACAAAAAAATTATAAGATTAGTGTGTAAGTTAGTTGATAAAAGCATCAAAGGATTGTTGATGTGCGTATAAAAGGTTAATACTTTTCATGGAAATTTTCTTAAGGCTTACATAAGTGATTTGTAAAAAATTGATATGATCTTGATAAATGAATTTAAAATAATACAAATTAAAAATAGTATAATTATATATACCACTTCCGAAGTTATCGATGTTGACTTCGTATAAATTGGTCATGTATAAGCTTTTTCGTAACGTTCACTAACAACCATTCACTGTACGAACGCTAAACATCACTATGTCAATCACCCAATACATAATCATGGTAATTTATTAGATTAACAGAGCAAACGTTATTATTAATTATAAGTTTATTTTTCTAAAAAAGAAAAAACTTACACTGTCGCATGTTTTTAAAATATAAAAAGTACATCATTGTATGCACTGAATGTACACACGCATAAACATAGATTATATCTGCACTGAAAATACATTGCTCGCTATATGTAACATATTCACTAAAATGATTCCTTTATGATGACATCCTTTACTTTATCACGTTTATAATGCTTACATCACATCAAATGTTTAATATTTGAAAATATGTTGGCAATGTATTTAATCGAAAAAAAGGTATTCACGTTTTGTCTTAAAACACTTAAGTATAACGGCATAGAATATGATAACTTATATAGTTGCTTGCTAATTAACATTTCTGAAATTGTTGTAATGTTGTAAAACCTTATTTTAACTCAATTGACTCGAGATTGAAATTTCAAAAATATATCTTGACACTGTATTTTCTATTAATTTAGCGAAAAACTTCTTGATTGTGAAAAATTGTTTGGTAGCGCAGATTAAATAAGTATCGCGAGTCAGTTGATTAAAAATGAGATTTCAATGGTCGATAAATAGGTAAGTGAAAACGTGATAATATATTTTATATGATCTAAAAACAGCTACAATGTTGATAAATTAAAATATCTACCAGACTTTGTATACGACAGCTGTAGCGATATGGTTGACGCTCATAATGACAAACTTCAACAGTAAACACACATTCCAGTGAAGAAATAATCCGTATGCTAATCAAATTTTCTACACATAAAAGTGCAAAGAGCTTTAAAGATATGCAAAAACACATCAAACGATATCGCAAAGTATAGAAAATTATGAATGAATGAAAAAAAAGCGCTTCACACAATGCACACCCATGTAGATTGTGTTCACACGTATACACGAAATACATCTTCATACAAACACAAAAACACATGTCTTACATTTCTAATACATAGATCTAAACACCTATATACTCCTAACACTTGAGTACACTATAAAACTTGTCAACATTGTTTACCGTTGTTGATAAACAAATACTTTTCAATGATACAAGGTAAATCTCAAATATTCACACACACCTACACACCCGCGCGCGCGCACACACACACAATTATATATTTTAATACACATCTGGTTAATCTGCAAGCTCTCAACTTTAGTTTGAAAGCTTGCACATGAACACTTTACTCTCTCGCAAGAACTTCACACATATATTTCATTACTCTGCAACACCTATTTCTACGTAAATTAATACTCTTGCATACACCATCGCCTTATTACAGGATCACTTACATACACGAATACACATTTAACACACAAATACGCACAACCCCGCACGCATACTTCTACTTACCTAAGCACAGACACGCACAGATACAGACGCAAACACGCACGCACACACATACACAAACACACAAACACGCACACACAGACACAAACACACGCGCGCGCGCACAGCCACACAGACACACACACACACACACACACACAGACACAGCCACAAACACACACACACACATAATTATATATTTTAACACACATCTGGCTAATTTACATGCTCTCAACTTTAGTTTGAAAGCTTGCAGATGACCACTTTACTCTCTCGTAAGAACCTTACACATATACTTCATTACTCTGCAACATCTATATCTACGTAAATTAATACTCTTACATACACGATTGCCTTATTACAGGTACATTTATATACACGAATACACATTTAAACAAATAATTTTTAACACTTATACAATAAACGTACACAAGTGAATATGCGTTAACACAAACATACAGAAATACGCACAACCCGCACGCACACTTCTACTTATCTAAATACAGACACACACAGATACAGACATAAACACACACAAACACACAAAGTTTCACGTATACACGATAACACAGGCACTTTCGTGCGCATACTGATAAGCACAAAACAAACACGCACATACTACACATCCATGTATAACGCAAACATGCACACCTATGCACCAACACAAACATGCTCACACTAAACAGCTATGTATAACGCAAATTCGCAGACTTATGCATTATAACACGTGTATGCAATACAGACACATTGCACAAACGCGGACACACGCATATTTACACATTTACACACTTACAACCATTTACATGCACAGACCCTCACACCCAGCCACTCGTATACACAAACGTTTCCACTGATGAACATCATACACTATACAGGTACCAGAGATTAGGAGGTGCTTCCTACGACAATTGGAAATTCAGCGATCATTAGATTCAAAGTTTGTTTCTTCGTGACCCCTATATAGTGACTATATTTTCTCTTCTGAAATGCTCTTTTAACTGTATACTTAACGAAAATGCATACTATGCACATTTGATCTTATGGCTTCAAACTTAAATTATAATACTTATTAAAGAGCTGATCAAGCAAAAAATGGATATTTATTGGTAAAAATTTTGATAAAAATCTAAATGTCAGATTATCCGTAAGATACATAAATAACATCTCGAAAGTACAAAAGAGAAGAATTTATTGCGAGCGAAAGTTTTTTCAACCATTAAGATATTACTACAATTATCATTTTGTACGTATTATAGCTGGAGTTAAGTTGAAAACTTAGTATTGTAATATAATAAAAGCTATAAAGTCATATTTTATATGTTCTCGTACTAAAATCAGTATTCATTGAAGTGAAGCTAAAATTAATCACAAACTAATTTAAAGTATCAATATAAATAATATTAGTAGTAATATAGATCACGATTAATTGCGTGAGATCATAATCGCTCTGTTGTCGACCAAACTGCCTTCAGTATACTTTCCATTGAATTTCATATGTATTTTCAATCATCTTAATGTGTGTAACAATTATCATTGTATTATTCTCATTTGTATAAACAATTCATATTTTCTAAAGTAATGTTATGCATGCATTGGCATGGATATTTGTACACTTTATATATTCTGTGTTACTTTATTCGTGTCATCAAATAATTTCACCACAAAAATGTATGTACTAAATTTGTACATGGTAAGAATGGAATTTTTATGTAATCTTGCGAACATTGGTTAAAATTTTAATCACTATCATACAACTTTACACTCTATGATAGCTTGAGATTTTGGCTTTCTTGCATTTAATTGTGTCAAATGGGCTTAACGTTGCCTTGAAAATAGAATTGTAATATTCTTGGAATATTGTTCAATAATGAACTGTTGAACACTGTGTAAAGTACTGCTGTGCGCGACGTTATTCAAAATAATGTAAAAACTATAAACTTATGATAAGTAAATTCGCGTATCGATTTTTATTTTAGGCAATTATTTATGAACTTCTCTTATAATTCTAAACGGTATAATTTAGAGAGTAACAGAATACATAAATATATTCGACTTACAATAGATATATTGAAAGTAAAAATGCATTATTATGAGTCTTACTTATTAATGCATTAATATTCGTTTTGGACGAAATTTAAGATATATCGTATTCATACGATCAAGTATGAGCTGATATAATATAGGACATTCGATATACAGAGTAGTAACATATTTAATTTCCTATAAGTAATAGCGACTATATGAATATTAATACTGATTCAATAAAAACATAAAAATTTAAATTATCAATTTAATGTTGTAAGTGCTTGTACGTATCTTTTAATTAAGACAATATAGTAAATGTCGTTAATGAGGATTTGTGAAACGTTGTGTATTATTGGATAAAATAAATGTAACAAAATCAAAACTGAAATCATATTTATAAGTTATTTACAAAAATTATATTTTATATGTAATGTTTGTTAATATGATTAACAAATATTACATAAAAAACAACTATACAAAAAGAGTTTATCTTGAAATAAAATACTATTAGTCATGTCAGAAATATGATTCTGCATTAAGATTGTCTTATGGCTGAATGCCTGTATGGCAAATGTAGGCCGACGATATCATAATATAGGAATATACAATTTTATTAAACGATTTCAGCATTATAGTTGACAATGACAAATTGATACTTTTTTTAATGCAGTGAGCGATTTGTTCAGTTTACTTACATTAATTGATACAGCTGTATGTATCACTCAGTTGTGATTGCAATAATTTATTTATTACAGCTATTGTCAATACATATCTGAAAGATGCAAAGTTATTTTCTCGCATAATCTTAATTTATAAGGGACTTCCTAGCCATCGAACATCGGATGTTGGACAAATACTGAGGTAAAAAAACAAATTGATTGTTTGTCATTATCTTATACCAAAGATTTGTGCGTGGTTTGAAAACATCACGTACAACATTTGTTTTTATTGCATGAATTAATGTCAAATAATTTATTCATTTGTACACCTTCGTGTACGAAATTTTAAACATACCTTATTACTCGAGCGCACGTAAAATTGAGTCCCTACACGCACGGAGTCTCGAAAAAAATATTTTGCTTAGCTATTCAATTGTAAAAAGAACCCCATACACATGTGGTTATATCTTTTCAATTCCAATATAATCTTATTTGACTGTTCAGTTTTTAAATGATGCTCGCGCTAAAAAGATTCAGTTTCTAATGACAAATGTTTTTTTAATATGTAACGCTAAATATTACGTAAGATACCTTTTTGGCTAATTGTATACATATACATTTAAAATTTCAACAAAATTTCATATCAGCGTCAATTACAACATAATTGTTTATTAATTCACAATTTTTTTATATACTGCATTTTTATTGTGCGAAGATGAAGATTTAGATAATATTTACAGATGATCGAAGAATATAAGTAATCGAAGAATGAATCGATCTTAGAAGTGTCTAGAAAGCTACACTTTCTAGATCAGATCGAGCCATTTGACATCAGACATAAAATATATATATATAATTTTGACTATCTTTTTCATTATAGTAAACATCTGATGAACGATATTCGATATCCGATAAAAGTATATATTTTTATCAGTATAAAGATGTATTAAGAAAATGAATACTCTACTTGAGTATGTATGTATCTACTAGTGACCTTTCTTTTATAATTTCAACATACATAAATATTTGACATATTGTATTACTAATTATTAAAAGAATTTTTTTATATTTATAAATTATATTTAACAAAAATAAATAAAAGATTCAACTTTTAAGTCTTAATTTTTATTATATATATATATATATATATATATATATATATATATATATTTTTAAGGTTTTATGTTATTAATAGAATATTTAACAAAAATAATAGTCTGACAAATTTACAATAAAAGCTTTTCTTATTCAGTATTTTTATTTCCAAACTCAAAATATTGTGAAAGTCATGAGAAGCACTTGAGTTATCGAGAATCGATCACGACGTGTTTGTCTAAAATTGCTAAGTTCATGTATGTAGGCAAAGGATGACATTCGAAATTTACAACAAACATGTCGATGTTTAACAAATTTGATTATTATAATGCTTTGCCTTTCTGGCAAAATGGACCGGTTCCAGGAGCCATTTACAATTTTCCAGGGGCTTCATCGACTTATGGAAATGGTGGCAAACAACATACATTGTAAGTAATACTTTTATACAATTTTCTAAGTAGAAGTGCAGAGTTAAAAGCATTATTCAAACAGGACTTTTTCTATTTTTTTTTGAACTCATTACATATAGATTAGTTAAATATGATATCAAATTTTAACTCTTTTTAGCTACTTATTTACACAAAATTACCATTTTTTATTAAAATAAAGTATGGCAAAAACATATCAAAGTTAACCTAAAAAACGTGTATTTTAGAAATATCTCAATATTTTTCTTTGCAGATCTCCTAGTGTGACTGGTACATCAGTTCTTGGAATTCATTTTAAGGATGGTGTCATCATTGCTGCTGATGTCCTAGGTTCTTATGGATCATTAGCCAAGTATAGGAACTGTGAGCGTGTTATAAAAATCAATAACAATATTATTCTTGGAGCTGGTGGTGATTATGCAGACTATCAATATCTTAAAAGTATAATTGAACAAAAAATGTATGTTATTTAATAATGGTTATTAACATACTCATGACACCTTTATTCTAATTCATATTTATGCTATTTTAGCCTTGATGAACAATGTTTTGATGATGGTTTTACTTTGAAACCTAGATCTCTCCATTGTTGGTTAACTAGAGTTATGTACAATAGAAGGTCAAGCTTTGATCCTTTATGGAACAATTTTATTATTGGTGGTATTGAAAATGATCAGCTGTAAGTATTCATAAAATCAGTAGTCATACTTTTTTATTTTAGAAAGCTTAACTCTTGTTTATGTTAAGATTTTTAGGAACAGTAGATAAATTAGGAACTGCATACACTGATCCTGTCATTGCCACAGGATATGGTGCATATATGGCAACTCCTATTCTAGCAAAGGCCTATGAGGAGAACAAACAAATGTCAGAAAAAGAAGCTACAGATCTTATTTATCAAGCTATGCAAGTTCTTTTTTACAGAGATGCAAGGTCTTTCCCTAAGGTAAATCTTGTTTTTTAGATAACATTATTAATTTAAAATCGAAAAAATAAGTGGAAATAATAATGCTTTTTCAGTACCATCTTGGAATAATTACAAAGGATAAAGGAGTTGAAATCAGAGGTCCAATCACTGTTGATTCCAACTGGGAAGTGGCAAGAAGAAGTTATTCAGGCTAATTTAATTTCTTTGTACTGTTAAACAAACTTTAACACTTTTTTCTTAAATAAATTTGAAATATCTTATTTGATAAAAAAGCATTTGTTTATTTAGCTTAACAAACAAATAGACTTAAAATTTTATTTACAATTTTTACTTTGGTCTAGTTAAAATATCACATCCATGATCCGTTATTAATATTGTATGCTCTATCTGGGCTGTCCTGGCATTGTCTAGTGTTACAGCAGTCCAACCATCTTCTAATATAGCAACTTCTTCACTTCCAGGGCTTAAAACTGGCTCAATTGTGAATGTCATTCCTGGTTTCATTACTCCTTGTTCATAGTTATTTGCTGTAAATATTAAATCACGTTTCAATATGTTATTTGTGTCATTCATAATGAGTAATTAAATTAATTACCAAAGTGATATATTTCTGGTGGTCCATGAAAATAGGTACCAATACCATGACCTCCAAAAGCAGGTAATACATTGTAACCAAGATTTCTTGCAGTTTCTTGAACAATATTACCTAGACAAGATTAGAATTTTTTTGTAAATACAATGAAGTGTTTTAAAATATCAATAAAAAAAACTTTATTACCTATGCTACAAAACTTTTCATTTGGTTTGCAAATTTTAATAGCTGCATCTAGACAAGTTTGAGTAGCTTTAATTAGTTGTTTTCCTTCTTCATCAACATTTCCAACTTCAAACATTTCTGAGCAGTCACCATGATAACCATTTAGGAATACCTAAATAAAAATAAAATGAATGACTAATTTAATACTTTAGGTATCAATAAAATCAATCATGACTTGCTCCTAATTGTCATCTGATTTTGACATAGCACACTATTAATACTTACTGTAATATCAATATTCAGAGTATCACCGTCTCGCAATGGTCGATCATCTGGTACACCATGGCATGCAACATTATTAACACTGGTACAAATTGATTTGGGAAATCCTAAATAATTCAATGGACTTGGATATGCTCCATTATTAATTATGATTTCATGAATCTTTTGGTCTAAGAAATCAGTTGTAACACCTTCCTAATAGAAAATGTGGAAGATCTTATTGAAATATTGTAAAACAACTTAATAACTAAATATCCTATAATGTTCAGCTTACTCTGACAGTAGGTCTTATTTCTTGCAAAATTCTCTTAGCTAACAAGCAACTGTGAATCATACATTCTATTTGATTTTTATTTTTAATCTCTGGTTCTTGAGGTGGTCCTAATGGTCTTCCTGTTTCGGCGTACACTGGCTTTGGAATGTATGACGGTACCGTTCTTGCTGCTGATATATTTCCTGGTGTAACAATGTCATAAGTTCCAAATTTGGCAGCTTTTTTACGCGCTCTGTTCTAAAATAATAAAGATAACGGAGTATTATATAATATTAAAGTTTTCTTATAAAAGTATTAATATTTACCTCTATAAAACTCTTAAAAAAACTAAAAAAAGTTCTGACATTGATCTTGTTAATACCTTGAGACATAACGGATCAAATTAAACAAGAACAAGTAATAATTAATCAATCAGGAATGTTCACAATCTAAGTCAATGCCGTATGTGCACATACATATATTATTACTGCTATTCATGTAAACATTGAAATTTCTTTCTGCTAAAAAACTAGGTCGGTAGTCAGTCCACTTTACCACGAAACAAACAGAGTAAAAAGATCTGAAATTAGTAAAATTCAACTAATAACTATCAATTACATTATTGTAAAAATTTCTTTCATCGTCAGAAATAAAAGATTTTTTTCGCATTAAACATATTAATAATCGTTTGCATAAATGAATAACAGCGAAAAAACGGAATGAGAACAACAATCGATTTAGCAGAATCAAATGTTGGAGTATTACCGCGCGGTGCGCAAGCGTGAAAGGTGGCCGCGGTTGTGCACGTTTCCTTTTCCGATCTTTGGCTGATCAAGGTTCGTTGTTAACATTTTTAAAGTGTCGGAGAATCCATTTTACAAGCGACAATCGCTTAACTGATGACACAAATAATTCGATATTTATAGTTAGTTAACGGCACTGCAGCCGTTAATGACTATATCGATATTAACATTGTAATAACACTAACTTTTATTTTATAGAATCAAAAATGGTGCAGCGTCTAACCTATCGGCGACGACTGTCGTACAACACAAAAAGTAATAGGAGACGAGTGTGAGTGTTTTTTTATAAATTTATGCTAATGTACTTTATTGATTAGCTTCATATGTAACTTTTGGATTTAATTTTCAACCAAAATTTTTACAAAATTAAAGTTATATGAAAAGTTTACGCGGTGTAGCGGTTATGTTTTGATATAGTTCTTTTGATAATTAAGTAACATTTAGATCAATATTTGTCGAATCAAAGTTTTACAGCAATTTAGTAGAAATGAAAAAATTTTAATTAGCTAGCGTCAAATGTTATTGTGTTAATTTGTGTTATATTGCTATGTTACTCATACTGATAGAATATATTTTAGAATACATGTTTTTCCTTTGGGAATGTGATGTTTATATTAAAATGTATTCATCACATACAACTATCACAAATTTACATTGGAATTTATCAAGTTGTTCTCCAAGATGTAGACATTGTAGTCAGTATTTGAAGTTTATTTGAAGCCAGACAGCATGTGAAGTAATCAATCTCTTGAACAATTTAGAGTATCAAATGCAAAGTTTCAACAAGACTTCAGTGCTTTTAGGAATAATCATATTCCAATTAATTAGACATTTTAATTGATAACTATATAACTTCCAGTGTCCGTACTCCTGGTGGTAAACTTGTCTATCAGTACCTCAAAAAACCCAAGAAGATCCCCAGATGTGGTCAATGCAAGGACAAGCTTAGGGGCATTCAGCCTGCTAGGCCTATGGAGCGTTCTCGTATGTGCCGCAGGAAGAAGACTGTCAAGCGTGTTTATGGAGGTGTTATGTGTCACAAGTGTGTTAAGGAGAGGTCAGTTTATTTGATTAATTTATTAATTACTGTTTTTTTTACAAGCATTTCATTAAAAAGTAAAAAATATGAATTTCTATTTTAAATGTATTAATATAAGTTAAAAAAATTATGCAAGAATAACTTGGTCCCTTAAAATTAATAAAATATATTACCATGTTATGTGGAACAGGTAGTTTTAATGTTTTGTAAAACAAACTAGTTAATTTTAACTATGGTTAGTAAATACTGAGAATTTTGAAAAGATACATTTATTTGGATATAACCACCAATTGTTAGTTTTCACAGCAAGTTATTAAAATATAAGTATAATATAAAATTTTGAAAGTACTAATTTTTGTGAAATGAATAATTTTTTTATATAACTGTTATTGTAAGGATTACTCAATTGTATTTAATCTTAGTAAAAGAATAGGTGTGGTCATTCTTTTTATAACAAAATTAAGATCAAACGTTATATTAATTTATCCTTTTTAAGATATAAAGAAATGATGTGCGATTATTTGTTGTAGGATTGTACGAGCTTTCCTCATCGAAGAGCAAAAGATTGTAATCAAAGTTATGAGGGCACAGCAAGCTTCTGCAAAGACGAAAAAAGCAGAAAAGTAATTTACAAATCTTTTACTTTATAAATCTTAAATAAAAAAACTACAAAAAATTTGGAATATAAATCTCATTATTTTATACATGTCATCTTATTTTATAATGGAACTATTTCTAATAACAAAAGCAAACACTAATTAATTGAAATTATTTTATTAAAATAAATATTACAAAATATGTACAATATTATATAAAATAAGAAATAACATTCATTTATCAAAAAAAATCAAAATTTAAATACATAATCTATTCACTTTTTTTACAATCATGCTAGTCTTTAATAACATAACTTTAATTCTTTTCAAAAACTAATTTTATATAATTTATATAGGATATAGATCTAAAACAGTATGATCAATATTGTCATCATTTGTATGATTAAGAGTCAATCAATCTTTCTTTTTCTTGTGATCATCAGCAAAATCTTTTATACGTTCTATTATTTTACCAGGTTCATCCACTCGAGGTATCTGAAATGATAGAACATTGTTTTTATAAATTGCAGCATTAAAGCAGTTTTAAACAGATCTAAATTTATAATTTACCTCATAGTTCTGGCTCAAATATATGCCAGCGTAAATGCCAAGTCCAAACGTAAACTAAATATAAACAAAGATTATAAAAAATATCTTCAAGATTTATTTAAAAAATTGATACATACCAGAAATTTGAACATGTTACAGTAATGGTGATCGAAACAAAAGAAACTGATTATGTATATTACGCAGGAATTTACAAAATCATCTAACGTGACGAAAATCTTATCTTATCGTAAAAACGTTACCATTATATTACATGAGTATCTCACAATGAAAATAAGGTTAAACTTAAACCACGTAAAATTGGACAAATTTTCACAAAATCTACAGAGTGTTATTTGATAGGTCGACATAACGCGCGTGCTCGGTTCTATTCGAAACGACAAATTCAGTGGGTGAATCACCTTCTCGAGACTTTTACGTTAACCGTGCATGGAGAACGAACAGGTAAAAGAAATATTTGGAGAATTTTGTATACACATAGAATCGTTATCAGTTCAAACCATTGCGCGTAAATTTAGTTCTTTGCTCATCTATAGTCAATACAATGATGTCACAGCTCTCGCAACGTTAGATTTTACGATTTCTCTTTGACGTGTATTTTGCTTATCACCACCGTTTTTATAGTTTAAAGTGAAAATAATACTAAATTCATTACGAATTTTCAGGGAAGTGATGTTTCGTTGAACGTCATATTTAGCAACATAACTGTATTTCGTTTGCGGTAAGTTTTATGGTAATTGTAATTAATTGTTTATTTGCACTTTCATAACGTTTGAAACTGCAGCTTTGTAACTCAATTATTGCTTATTTGAACAAATGTCCTAACTATGACTATAAAATAATGATCTGCTCTTTTGCATCATCAGTCTAACTATGAACTGTTGAAAATACATTTGAGTAAGGGACAAAGATCATTCATTGATTGTCCATTTGCTTCATGTTACTTGCATTTGTTCTAATCATTAATCATTGTATGACATTGCATGTAATTTTGTTAAGTGAGAAAACAGAAGCTTTGCATAGCTACTAAAAGCCTGCATCTATTACAGATTGTTAAAACTCAAAATCACAGATGCCATACATTTTGGTTCGCGGTAACCTTGCATCTTATGGTCACAGGTATCCTTGGAGAGTACTTGTGTCTGGCCTAAAAGGTATTGTCTGTCATCTTTCTGTGGCTTTTAAAATAAATTAATTTTCTGAATATGTGTTAAGTTTGTGTGTGAGCTTGATCCATTAAGAAACATCCATAAATTTTAGTTTACTTTTAAAACATTGCAATGAAATTACTAACATAATGAGTGCTATATTTCAGCGGCTGATATAGAACAGTTGAGTCGCTTTGCATCTGGAGGCTACTGTGACGACTCAACAATAGTCTATCTACAACATCCTTGTGTGATATTAACAGCACTAGAAGTCTTGGGATACAAAGTTGTTGCATCTTCCAGTACAAGTGTCAAACAAGATTATAATGAATACATGTGGACTATGAGAAAGGACTTCTCGGAGCCAGAACCAGAGCCAGTCATCAAAGCAGGCAAGTTATTAGAATCTATGTATTGATCCAATGGTTCCATTCCTTACTACAGCTATACAGTATTCGGAAAATTTTCATTCAACATCAATAAAGAGGCGCGTCTATTACGTGTTTGCATGACACAATTCACCGGTAAAAACAGTTTCCTGTCTTACCTCAGATCATTGACATTGCGTCATACGTGATAGTGTTCTAGCTGTATGTTCTGTGCAGGTTTTGTTTTACCTCAATTTATACTTTGAACTACTCGCAGATGGCTCTGTAGTTCATAGTTGTGCGTATTTGTATGTATGACCCCCCTTACCCTAGCCTGCAAAGTGTAATGGACAGTGAAAAAAAAAATACCATTCGAAACATCTCTAATTGAACCCTCCAAAAATGCTCAATATTTTAATTGAACCCCTTCAGTTGTCCCAAAAAAAATTAAAAACTATGATGATTTTTTCGTTTTTTGCAACTGCGATATCTTTAGTAATACTTAATATTTTTGCAAAAGAAACAAGGCAAAAAATTGAACCTTTGCTCGTTTTAATTGCACCCCTCTCACTTTTTCAAAATTATTAATATATATGTCAAAAACAACAATCTAACTTTATTGTATGTTCTTTCCAAATAACCCAATAACCCAATAATCTATTTGAAAAGAACATACAATAAAGTTAGATTGTTGTTTTTGACATATATATTAATAATTTTGAAAAAGTGAGAGGGGTGCAATTAAAACGAGCAAAGGTTCAATTTTTTGCCTTGTGTCTTTTACAAAAATATTAAGTATTACTAAAGATATCGCAGTTACAAAAAACGAAAAAATTATCATAGTTTTTAATTTTTTTTGGGACAACTGAAGGGGTTCAATTAAAATAATGAGCATTTTTGGAGGGTTCAATTAGAGATGTTTCGAATGGTATTTTTTATTTTTACTGTCCATTATACTTTGCACGCTGGGGTAAGGGAGGTGTGTGTATGTACCTTCGAGCATATATATTATGCTTGAAGGTATGTATAGTGCATATCCATTTTCTATATTCCATTACCAGTAAGCTCCATAACTCCAGACCCACCCCCTTACTCTAGCCCACAAAGTATAGTGGATAGCGAGATAAAAATACCATTCGAAATATTTCTAACTGAACTCTCCAAAAATGATCATTATTTTAATTGAACCTTTTTAGTTATCTTAAAAAAATTAAAAACTATGTACATTTTTTGGTTTTTTGCAACTGAGATACACCAATACTTAATGTTTTTGCAAAGATACAAGACAAAAAAATTGAACCCTTGCTAATTTTATTTTAACCTTTCTTATTTTTTCAAAATTATTAATATATACGTCAAAAACAATTTAATTTTATTATATGTTCTGTGACGGTAAACGTCAAGTTAGCGCTAACCATTTAACCTTATTGCTGTCCGTGAGGGCAGCACCTCCCGGGGGGACAAAAATACGTAACGAAGGAATTCGGCACGCGAGCAGACGGAACGCGCGCGAACGAATTTGAACCAGTGAAGCATCGACCATCAAAGTGTCCGTCCACTTACGATATCATCCCTTCGATTCACGTGCCCTTGACGTCCGTACGCTCTAATAATAACAGCGACCAGTGATCCAGGAGTACAGCCGCCAAGGAGCCATCGAGTACCAGCCGGAGGCCAGAACGAGAAAGAGAGAGAGTGTGAGAGGTTTCGCCATCGAGGGCGAAACCAGTGCGTGCGCGCGTTCGCGACTCGCGAACATCGAAACGACAATAAAACTGTTCTGTGCTGTGCGAAGTATTCGCTGTTTCTCTCCGATCGTCTGCGAGTAAAAGGTAAGCTGGCCAGCTTAATTTCGCGTTCGCGATTACACAAATAATAACTTGATTCTAACATTTAATGCGTGCATGCAATGGCACTCGTAACAAAGAGCGGCGAGCGTACCGGCAAAGCGTGTTGTCGATGAGCGAGCGTGCATGTAAACAAACGCGCGGGCCGACCTTTTGTGAGTTTAGAGGAATAATAAAAGATCCGATTTACCTTACTAACAAGTGTTTTCGTTAATTCTCTCATCTCACATAGCTTCCACTCAATTTAACTTTAGGTTATAAACGATAATCGGTTGACCGGCGTATGCTTTCTCGTGCTCTCCCGGAATAGTAGTGAGTATTGACAAGTTCGCGTGTCTTTTCAAGATAATCGCGCGATATAATTTATTAAACGGTCAAACCCCGTTACAGTTCTTACTAAAAAGATCAGTTAACGCGCATGCGTTTTAGTAAGAATATATAATAAAATTAGATTGTTGTTTTTGACATATATATTAATAATTTTAAAAAAGTAAGAAGGGGTCAATTAAAATGAGCAAGGGTTCAATTTTTTTGTCTTGTTTCTTTGCACAAATATTAAATATTGCTAAAAATATCGCAGTTGCAAAAAATCAAAAAATGTATATAGTTTTTAATTTTTTTGGGGGACAACTAAAAGGGTTCAATTAAAATAACGATCATTTTTGGATGGTTCAATTAGAGATATTTCGAATGGTATTTTTTTTCACTGTTAACTACACTTTGTGGGCTGGAGTAAGGGGGGAGGGTGACCTCAGACCACAAAATTTACATATATACAAAAAAAAGGTTCTATCGATGTATTGATAATCGAACTTCACGAAAATACTTCTTTTCAAGTTAAACCCTTCTGGTTCGTTTTAAAAAAATTAGGTAAATTTTATATTTAGAGGAATTCCATTGGCTTTAAAAAATTGAAGAATCTTGATAATAATAATTATAAATGCCATCTCGTGCACTATTATTAAGAATATTTAATAGATTTTAATTTAAAAATTAATTTTATTGATATTCGATTTTCATGTATCTTATTAATTAACTGTTTTTCAGCGGTTCTTCAAACAAAAATGCCATTTTTCAATATTTATGAATGGTTCAATTAAAAATAATGAGAATTCAAGATTTTAAGACCAACGAAATTTCGCTAAAATAAAATTCATCGAGAAATAGCGATTTTTATATTGCACACATATCGTATTTGTTTTCTAATTTTTTTTTTTAAGAAATCAGAGAGATTCTATTAAAAAAAATAGTATTTTCGTAAGACTTAATTACAAATATGTCGATAAGTTTTTTTTCGTATGTACGTAAATTTTGTGGGCTGCGGTCAATCACGGTTTACCTTAAAAAAAAGGGCTTCTAGAAGCCAACTTCATCTTTTACACTTAAAAAAACTTTTGTCTAGCTTAGTGAGCTCAGACAGGGGTGAAATTCTATAAGTTTTTGATTTTACGATAACCAAGTTTATGGTAAGTATTGATGATTGGTATTAGTACGGTAATCGGTGATATGGTACTGATCAGAGAAGAAAACCTGGTTTTTTTCAGGAAGTGTCTACACGGGATCCGTGCCTCTCCCCGGCCCCGGGTCCGCCCCTGTCTGTGTTTTTGTATGCGCACACCATCTCTTTAATTTCGAGTTCAGTGGTGAGTTTCATATTGAATGCGAGAAACGAATCTATGAAGTTGCTATATCCGTGATTTACAGCTTCAATTTTATTCAACATGTAAGTTGGTGAATTCATAATCTTTCTTTTCATTGTACTGTAAACCGTAATTACAACTAATTTTCCATACTTTTAGTTTTATTAAATTGCAAAATACATAATGGATGCCTACATGACGATAAATCACGGATATAGCAACTTCATAGATGCGTTTCTCGCATTCAATATGAAACTCACCATTGAATTTAAAATTATAGACATGGTGTGCGCATACTGAAACTCGGACAGGGATGGACCCAGGGTTGGGAAGAGGCACGGATCCCGTGTGAACACTCCCTTAGTCTTCCCCCTTTTGAATCTGCCTCCATTCCGATATTCGGACTAGAGTCGATGTTTTTTACTCTGACCAGTGCCAACCAATACTTGGTTAACGTAAAATTAAAAAGTTATAGAATTTCACCCCATGCACGCTAATCCATGGGTAAGAGTAAGGAGATGAGGTTGGTAAAGGCGGCAGCTATTCGTCCCAGTGTCACCGACGGATTCGTTAATGAGGTTCGACGGTTGGTAACACTTGCGCCAGGCACTCGGAGTTATCATGTCACTACGCGGACTTAAATAATACGCAATAAACTTATTTCTTGTCGCTAGTGAATGGCCGAACCTATCTGGTGAACATGGGTGTCTTCAGTTCATTACATTCAATTTTGAATTCTTAAATTCTAAAAGATTTTTTAAGAAAGAGCCATCGAACATCGGATGTTGAACGAGTACTAAGATGAAAAAACAAATTTATTATTAATTATCATTATCTTACGAAACATTTTTCCATGGCCTCACAAGATCATATGCAACATTTATTTTTATTTGACATTAATTTGTAAACAAAAATAAGTGTCTTTTCAGACCATGCAGAAATTTATTGTAAGATAATAATGAAATAATAAGATAATAAGACAAATAATGAATTTGTTTTTTATTACCTCAGTATTCATCACACATCCGATGTCTGATGGCCCTTATGTAGAAAGTCCCTTATAAAGGAAGTCCCATAGAAAATCTCTTATGTATTAGCATGTAAAAAATATTAAATTGTAAGTCTTACTTCAATATTCGTTATTCAAAACTTATGTACTTATTGTTATTTTTATTTACTTTTTTAATTATTGGTTCTGTTTTTGCTTTATAAATAACTGATGACTTTTAATTAAAAAAGAATACATTAAAGACAAAATACATTAAAGATACGTACATACTTCAATAATGCAATATATCATAGCATCTATTTCTAATACATGAAAGATCTGATTGTTATTATTCTATTGCTATGGTATAATTATAAAATATAGTAATTAAGAAAAAAGGTGTACTCTTATATTATTGTATATTCAATAAAATTGAATAATTAGATAAGTTATAAGTATCGTTAACAAATGAAAATAATCATAAAGATATAAGTTTTTGATAACGAATATTGAAGTGAAACTTAAAATTTAATATTTTTTACATAAACATGCTAACCACGACAATCTTTTCAGAATTCAAAATTGAATGGACTTGGAACGAACGGAATCCGGGAAAACTAGTCGAGTATACAAATTGAAGTCGGCTGCGGGAAGTCCTGTTTTTTCGAGGTAAACCATTGATGCCGAACACTTACTAGTGGCTAACGCGAACACATCATACGCACATACATATCATGGGCTATGCAGTGAAGTTTGTGATTTGTATGATTCGGTATTTGTAATAAATATCTAGAAAGTGAACTTTCTTATTTTATCATAATTTAGTTTGTTGGGGATAGTGTGAACATTAATTATTACATGCACTATAAAGACTCAAAGACATATATTAACTTGTAATTAACAGAAACAATTTATAAACCACGAACTAAATTTTGATAGATTCTAGCAAGAAGGATCCAACCATCTAGCTCAATGTTCATTTCAAGAAGGTGCCATTTCGTTATTCATTTAAAAAAAATGTTTTGAAATGACTGTTGTGCTATACCCTTCTTGCTAGCAGCTGTCAACTTAAAGCAAACTAAAAAAACAATGAAACATTTGTGCATAGTTGAAACTACCTAAAGTTAAAACTGAAGTCCTCTGAACTTTAAATATAATAAAGTTACAAAGATGGTGAAGAAAAAGGGAATTGTTTGGAACTACTTTACAAAAAGAATTCGTGGTTCTCAAGTTATTGCTTTTTGTAAATTTTGCAACCAGTCATACATTCAAAATGCCACTAGAATGGAAAAACATATAGAACGATGTGAGAAATGTCCAGAAAATATAAGAAAAGATTTTGTAAAACTTGTGAGAAACAAACGTGCCAATTCCTTAATAAGTTGGTCAATGCAACAAAATCAAAATAACCAAAATAATACACACAATGAAAATGAAGAAAATGTAAATGACTGGGAGTATGAAGAATTAAATAAACAGATACTTGAAAATAACTCTGACGATATTGATATTGATGATTCTAAGAATTGGATTGAAAATTCACAATTGCAACCTGTTGAATCAGAAGAACCTAAAGAAAATCAAGAGTGGGATGTAGCCAGAGATGAGAGAAGTGCATCTGTTAATGAAAGTAGTTAAGTTATTTTTTAAATATGTCGAAAATTAAAAATAATATATGACTAATAATCAAAAATATTAATAATTATTATATTTTTAACATAAGAAATAAAATCTTTCAGTTGCAGCACAAATTCCAGCATTACAACGCCCTTTGAATAGAAGGGTACATTCCAAAAGGGTATCTCATATGCCATTGCTTTCTAATCATAATTCAGTAAATTCATTTTTAAATAGTAAAATCCAAAGAGAACAGTATTTAGAAAGATTAGCATTGAGAAAAATTGCAGAGTTGGAATTGCAACGTAAAACATTAGAGTTTGAAAAATTAAAGTGGGAACACACAGTAGAAAAAACTAGAAATGAAATGAGATGGGCACATGAATGTCGTATGATGCAATTGAAAGAAGAATATCAACAAAATTTAATTAAACAAACTCAAGATAAATAATTAGTGTTTCAGTTATAAACATAGTATTTTTCAATCTAACTATTTGACTACTTTTTAGAAATTTGTTTAGGCATTAATTAATTGGATTATATTCATTCAGAATTGGTCCATTATCTTTTAAGTATTCAACAGTGGTTGACCAGATATTAGCAGTCGTCTAGTTTCCTTTAAGCCGATTTAATGATTTATTGAATCTTAATTCCTTTTTTTCATGATCAAATCAAAATTTCACGTTAAAATATTGACGACTAAATGCTATCGTAAAACTCGTCTTAGAATTCGACTGGAGTGGTGATTGCTATTGAAATATTATTTTCTTGCATGGGGACTCGATTTATGCAGACTCGGGAAAATAAGCATTTTTTAAATCTCATCTCGCACGTCGTTTTGAAAAATAAAATTAGACGCATGTACGAATTCAAACTTCTTACTCGCACTAGTATCAAAATGTACTATTTCTTTTTTAAACTTAAATTATTTTTTTCCTACACGAAGTACAACTAAAAATACTGTATCCGAAAAATGAAATATTTTTACTGTGAATTTTCTTTTCGTTTTGGTTTTGTTCATTAAAACATGTTTTAATAAGCGTAGTATTAATAAAAGTTATCGTGACTTTATGTTTTTTAATGTATTTATATAATAAAATGACATCAATAATTATTACATTTTTAACATAAGAAAATAAAACTTATTTAATTTTAATATACATAGATGTAGATACATAGATGTAAAAAATAAATTTTTCTACGAAAACGTACTATTGATGAAATTTTTTAATGTCCTTTAAAAAATGATTAATTTCATTAAATTGGACTAACGGCAGCTGGAAAGTTAAATAAAATGAAATATTTTTTTCATTTTAGAACTCAAAGATAACGAAGTTTAAAATCGTCGTGAAGTGAGCTTCAATGGAAGAAACAAAAATGTCTGAGAAATTAGCGGAAATTATCGCTAACGATACTTATTATTACACTGCCGTGAAAGGCTCACCCTTTTCGATGGACTGTGTTGGTTTTGGCTTGACACAGGATGAAATCACGGCGTTAAATAAAAGATTTCCTAATTCCGGAACAGAAGTGGTCAACGGTGTGATGATAAAAGGTTATTATTTTATTCTGTTACAATAAATACGTACCACTGTGACTGTTAAAAATAATGCCTTTTTTATACAACTTACAAAAGTACAAATGATTGACTGATTATTTTTTCAAAATATTGCATTTTATATAAAGAAAAATAGCGTGTACTTCATTAACAGTTAGTTTTTGTATAAAAACCCTATTTATCAGCTTTATCAATTTTTCAGGATCACCACTTGCCGTCATCAATGCACTTGCGGAATTGGGTTACAGAGTTGTTAGTTCTACAGGCGAAGCCGAAATATTATGGACTCTTCAAAGAGATGCTTAGAAAAAAAAGAAATGTAATAAATTTCGACACTTCGACATCAAATTTAATTGTAAAATGTCGTCGCTCTTAAACATATGATTGTCGTTGAACACTTTCGTTTTAGTATTTCGATCTTGTCATTGTGCCGGGTGCTCTTTAGAGAAATTAAGATGATATATAGCAGGAATTAATATTAACACAAAACATGATTTCAGTTTCCGACGACTGTCATTGAACGATGAAGTATTGTTTTATTACAAAAAATAACAGACACATTTCCGTATGGCATTTTTTAAGATGTTAAATTTTCGAGGACCAATTTGTATCATACTATTTTTGTTTTATAAAGAAAAAAGTATATGAACATGGACTGGAACGTTTTTATATTGAACAGCGTTATTCCATGTCGTACAAAGTACCTTTACTTTCATGTAAAGAACGTACCAAGTATTTTTGATGATTTTACTCCCATTTATTGAAAATCTTTTTAATATATTTACCGATGATACTCTATACGTGAACTAAGAAATTGAAACTCTTGCATAATACGACTTACCTCGAACTATTATGCTTTATGAATTGAAGAAAAAAGAATTTTATAAAATCAAAAGTAAATGTGCAGCTATTGTAGTCTCGTGATGTAGGATAATTACACGCCTAAACAAATTAAAAGTGAAACTTAAATCAACTAATGACGATTGTGCAATAATTGTTGCATTAAATGAACAATCAATATTTATCTTTATTTTTTACCAATTTACGCCTGACATATTGAAATTGTCGTGAAATTGTTTTATTTACAAGGTATTATTTACAACTTAATAACTAATATTCATGCTTATACATTATTTTTGTGATACGTTTAAGTTTAAACCTCGAAAAAATTATAAATATTGCGGCCTACAAGAGTTACTTAATAATTTCAACAGAAAGGAAAGTGCTGTAGTGTCGATATTTATAATTAATTATCAAACTATTACAGCGATGCCTTACATAAATTGGATATATTATATTATCTATGAGCAGTGTGTTAAAAATCTGTCGTTGAACAAATCATATGTCGTATTTTATGAAAATTTATATTTACGTAGTGTATCTCTATATGATTAGGTCGTAGTCATTATCAATGGATACTTTATATTTGTGCTTGTGTAACGAATAGATACGTTTACTTATGTTATTAACTATTATATCAATATAGAATTTGTCTAAATGTTTGAACGGTAATTTTCTTTAATACAAAAACTCAGTCACAATTCCCATTAAAACTTCAATCGTTGAAAAATTAAAGCGATATTAAAAAGCATGATATTAACAATGAGTTTCAGATGATAAGCATGGATTCAACGAAAAATTCACACGACGATGGCACGTGCTGTAATTGCAAAACTGGAGATTCCACTCGGCAAACTTTATCGGAATTAGATTTCGAACGTGGTATTTGGTATGCAGGTATGACCCTTTATCTTTGTTCTGATGAAAAATACAGGTTAAATTTTGTTGATTTTTACTCTTAGAATTCAAAATCATTATAATATTATTGCAATAATAATAATATGTATGAAAGTATCTAACCATCGACAATGTACATTGATTAATTTTCGAAAACATCTGCCGAATCAAAAAAACGTCTCAACAATTTTCCTGTTGTGAGCTTGCAGCGACAAAACTTGATACAAACTAAAATTTGATTCACAGCTCAAAGCAACGATCTGCAACGAGTGCGTCAATTGTTAAACAAAGGTACAGCAGTAGACGTGGTAGACGGCGCAGGTTACACGGGCTTGCACTACGCATCGCGCAACGGCCACGTGGAGGTGTGTCGTGAGTTGCTGAGTCGTGGCGCCGCGGTGAATGCGATGACTAGGTCAGGACACGCAACGTCTTTGCACCGCGCTGCGAGTCAGGGGCATGCTCGAGTCGTCGATATGCTCCTGAAAGCTGGTGCCAATGCCAATGCACAAGATGCGGATGGTTTCACTGCGCTTCATCGTGCGATAGTAGCAAATTCCGAGCCAGTTTGCAAGCTCCTAGTGTCAGCAACTAGATTGAACTTGACCGACAAGTATGGCCGTACGCCTAAACAACTTGCCGAGGAAAAAGACAAATTGCATTTGTTTGAATAGGTCTGTAAGTGCAGTTTTGGAATACATTCACTGGATAAGTTTTATTTTGGAGCAAGCAGGCAGTTACTTTTTAGCGACTGTAGTTGGAAATTATCAATTAGTACATATTTTCTAATTTAATAAAAATATAATTACTTAAATATTCAATATATATTGTTAAGCAGAATGAATTTACAATAAAATTATTTTCAATTTAAAGAAAAATTAGACCATTAAAGGTTGCCTAGTAAATTACTTATATAAAATCATTTGATTTTTATCATAATAACAATTTTCTGAATCACTCTTCTATTAAGAAATTCATTCGTCGTTAAATTGTACAAGTCATTGCCAGTAAACATTTTTTTACAATTCAGGTTAAGTTGAAACAGTTTGTGCATAAGAAAAGGCCGTCAACGCACACATAAAAAGAAGCAATGAAATACAAAATAAAGCTCTATTTCTCTATCTCTCTACCTTAACAGACAACAAATCTTTTTATTCTTAACAATTTGGTTAAAGTTCCTAAGTGCTTTTTGCAGCACAGAGATTCTTTTGCGAAAGGAAGTTCAACGTTGCAAATATATAGACGTAGAGAGGCATTGTTGCGGTGTTGAAAAACATCGATAAAGGCGGCACAGGTCGTGGCTCTAGAGAAAGAGAAAGAGAGAGAGGGGAGGGGGAGAGACAGAATGAGAGAGAAGAGAGAGGGACGTTGTATGCGTAACTGGGCCATTTTACCTTCGCTTGGAATATGCTGGGGCGCTGCGCTCGCTGCTCGCGGATGAGAGCTCGTGAAAGGGAGTTCGCCGTTCGGTCGTGCTCTTGATATTGAATCGACTCGTGCGACATCGGAGCCACTCGCGCTGTTTCGCCTGTCGTCGGGAGGGCCAAATGGCGCAGTTTGTTTGACCGTGAGCTGCTGCCATCTAGTGCCGGGGCCAAGTGTCGCCAGCGTCAGTCGCGTGTCTGTCTGTGTTGGCTGCAGCAGCAGCAGGACAGGGAGATACAATTGAACGAGCGATAGAGAAAGAAAGATCCTTCGAAAATATAGGTGATAAAGGTGATTTGGAGCAAAGAGACGCGCTTCGGCTAACGAGGTGGCAGAGCCAGTTACTAGTGTCGCGGTAGTAGAGAAAGGAAAAAATCGACGAGCTGATGTTACTAAGTTGGAAGACGATCCGTGTACGAGTGCCCCATCGTTACCTCTGTCTCTTGTGCTGTGCGTTTCGTTTCTCCGAATCGTGCGACAAACAAAGCACGCGCGTGAACCACGAGATCGCATGAAGTTTCGTGCCCTCGAAGGTCTTGTAAGCTGCGAGAACGAGTGGGGACAAAGTGAAGCTTGACAATCATCGGCATGTAACACTCGTAGAGGTCCGTGACGTCACGGGGGCCTCTCCGATTTCAACTCGTGCAAGCAGCAGCGCCACGTTAAAGTGCCGACCTAGACATTACAACGCACGTAGCACACTGCAGTGAGCCAAAGTGGCGAACGCAACGTGAAGGTAAGCTTTCGTTCGGCATCGTCGTCGTCGTCAGCATCGCCACCGTCGTTTTGCGTGTATTATTAGTGTTTATTTTGCGGAGGCGTGCAGTGCGCCTCACGAAAGACGGAGTGTAGGTCTGTATGTCTCTCGAAAACAGTTGTTGACCGTCCACACGGCGCGGGTATTGCGGTCGCGAGAGTAAGAGAGACGGAGAAAGAGAAAATAAGAGAGAGTGGGATTGGCCCCCGCGCGGCCCGACCTAACCTCACTTCTCTTCTCTTCTCTCTATCCCTCTCCTACTCGCTCTCTCACCCAGCCTAACCTGTCGCGCTCGCTATAGCGAGCAGAGCCGAGAAAAAGCGACGGGGAAAGAACGAACGCAAGCAGCGGCGCAGCAGCAGCGTAGCACAGCTCTGAAAAAGAGATCAGTCTTTTGCGCCGCCGCGGAAGCGAGCGTCGTCCGTTCGTACGTTCCTCGCCTCTCGTGCTCTGCTGCTGGCATTGCTACCATAACCTATAACTGGATATTATGTGTTCGTTGCTACCTCCAGTGTACCCCCTGTGTATATATACATATCTATATATATTTGTACGCGAACGCGAGTGTATATGTGGTGCCGCTACTCCTCCCATTTTCGGCTCGCGAACTGGGCCCGCGAAAATCTCGCTGATTTTTCCCAGTGTGCGTGAGCAAGAAAGAGCGAGAGCGTGAACGCTCAAGATTGCGATCTCAACACCGAAATATACACACCGACATCGCGAGTTTTATTTTAGCCGCTTTACGCTGTCGCGTGCACGATAGCGATGCTTCGTCCGTGTTCGCGATGCGCATTACGCATCTCTTCCAGCAGCGAAGCTTTATTAAGAAAATAACAGTATGAAAACTATCCCGCAGGTGATGTTGGAGATCAGTGCCGTTGGACCTATCACTTCGAAGCTATATCAGAGAGGTTAAAGGAGAGCGCGCTGGACGCGCCAAAACAACAATATTTGTTCACGCAAGTGCTCGTATACATGGTGGTGCATTGACGAATTTGAATGTCATCGATAGCAGTTCTAATACACACGTGAGGTGTTGTATTGTAAACAAGTGCTCATTTAATTGGAAAAGGAGAGAGAACGAACGCGCACGCGAGTGCTTGGTGAGTGAGTGTGCTAAACGACAACTTGACGCAAACACATACATCCGTGGTTGTCATCAATCAACAAACGAATACGTCGTCGTCCTCCTCCTATCGCCGGCGAGTCTGCCCTCGATGAGAGGAGGCACATGTCCATTGCTGCCGCTGAAAATGCAGGGTAAGTGTCATACGAGTACGAGTTAAAGCACGCGTACATCCATCATTTCCAAATTCGTCGTTTGACAACGCGAGAGAAAGGAGCGAGAGAGAGAGAAAGAGATACGCGTTCGAGACGATGATGGAGAGGGAAAAGAATCGCCTTGGCCTGGATACCGCCGTTACAGCCGCCGCGACATAACCCTGGAGCCGCTGGTTAACTCTCTTCTCGCGCCTTTTCGTCTCGTGCGCGTATTGTCTCTCTCATTGCGATTTTTTTCACGCGATAATACACCTTTATGCGTCGTTATGTCACATTCTATGCTCCCGTCCTTTCCGCGGTGCTTTCCTCTTTTCGATCGTTCTTATTTTTTTTGTCTTTACATAAGTCTTTCCGGTTGCAATGGCAAGTGTTGTCGGTGTGGTTGCTGTGCCCTTGGCAAAGAGTACACCGGCGTTCATAGACGCGTGTATCACGGCTGGAAAGTAAAAGAGGAGTAAAGTGGCAGAGATTGTGTAACTTGATGTACAGCGGCGCAGCACTAATGAAATTTCGGGAAGCCTTATACACACTTGGTGCGCGCACGACGCTCTGCGTGTGTGCGTGCATCACTGTCGTGTGGGAGCAAAAGGAGAGGGGACTACACGTATATACACAATGTGCGCGCTGCTGAAGAAAATGGCATCGAACTCGCGCGGCGGCTGAACGGCATGTGAACGACACTCCTTCGTCCTTGAACCTATTAGGCGGCGCGAGTAGCGCCGTGCGCGCGTGATATTTTCGCTCGGTTACACGCGAGAGAGCTTTCCGACTAGACACGTCAGAGCCGCAGAAGGGACTTTCCTTGCCTTACGCTATATAATACACCAGTCACTACATACTTCCCTCTCTCTCTCTCTCTCTCTCTCTCTCTCTCTCTCTCTCTCTCTCTCTCTCTCTCTCTCTCTCTCTCTCTCTCTCTCTCTCTCTCTCTCTCTCTCTCTCTCTCTCTCTCTCTCTCTCTCTCTCTCTCTCTCTCTCTCTCACTCAGGTGTAAGCGTCATTGTATGACGCCAACCGGCCGACCTGATTTTCCACCTGCCGAACGTTCATTTCTTTCCTTCTCCTTCTGCTTCTTCTTCTCCTTTCTTTTGCTTCCTTTTTGCGAGATAATCTTATCGCCAGAAATGGGATTGGTTTACAATGGTGTTGTACGATATACGTTTTTGTCAATTTTTTCGATAGTTCACGGAAAAATATTTCTTATGAATATTTAAAAAACAAACATTTTTTTTTCGAATACTCATACATAGGTACTCCTCAGTTTTCCTATAACTTATTGCTACAAAATATAACATTTCTTTTTAATTTTTATGTATTATTTTGAAATATTATAACTCCAGATGGGCAATGATGATTCTACGCAGAATATAATAATCTCATTTTTATTACTACGAGAAAGTGTTCCTTGAAGTATAAGTCGCAGTAGGAATAAGTTTTTATTAGTCCGAAGGTAAAGTGAGATGCATAATAAAATAATCTCTCGGTATCAAGTGACCAGCTACTGGTAACGTGATTCTACTCTGCAGAATTATTATCGCTCAGCAAAAAAAGAAAAAAAAAGTGTTTTCACGACTAACACTTTTCAAGCGATTATTACTGCCAATGTTACAAATTTCTTTGAGTATAGAGAAATAATTGCGTGATCTCATGTTGTTCTCTTTTCTAGTTGGGCGGTTCGAAAAATTATTAATAAGTTGGAGCTTTATCTTATCACGTCTTTTCTTAGAATTCGGCGTAATCGATAAAATTCGGCAGTTGCCGTGTAATGTTTTGCAATTTTAAAGTAATATTCGCAATAATTCTTCGTACGTCACAATTCTTTCGATGCTTTCCCGACGAAAGCGGCGAAATCATTTTCACGAAAAGAGTAAACAATAAAGTCGCGCGAGTGCAATGGCACTTGGAATATATTTTTGCAACATAATATCGCGTTAAGCTCTTCCGAGAGCGACGCACGAATACATAAATTCCGCGCTGATAAAAAGCTTGATGGTCGTCGTTCGACGGACGGCCCCAGACAATATACGAATTCTGGGGTTCAAAGGACCATGACACGCCACACATAGCCCGTTAAAAGGTTAACAGCTCCGAGTTTACTCGAGATTCTTGCCCTTGCCACTTTGCGCGCTCGCTCGCGAAAAAATCAAAACAAATAGGCAGAGCTGTCGTTTGATTAGCATCGTCGTTGTGCGCATCCAAATCACATTTCGCCTGCGGGGGAACAATTTAATTGACGACTTATCGGTAACCTCTTACTTTATCGTGATCTTGCGTAAACAAGTCGAAAAAACAAGAGACAATTGGATACCTCTTCATCGACAGTCTACTCTCGTCATTGGTCCATTTTTTCTTTCTTTCTTGCAACGCGTTTGGGAAAAAAAATAGACTTATGTATCCAAGCTGTACGCAGCCGGGTCTTGTACGAAAAACGACTGGCGTTTTATCTTATCTATCGTACGTTACCGGTGAAAGTGCATCCTTGAGATTTTCCACGCGTTGCATCTGCGTCGGTGTAGTACCCATCGGTTGCCACTGTTGTTTGTGACTTGTTATTTTAATATGTAACGTTAGTTCAGTCGTATGCTCCTGTGTTTAATTTACGGCGTCGCATATACGCACAACTCGCACAAAATTATATATACGCATTTCTATATGTCTCGATAAGGAATGCCGTTCTTTTTTTTTCTTGTGCCTCGTGTTTTCCTCCTGTACGTCGCTTGAAATAAAAAAAAAGAAACCATAATACGTACCTTCAAAATGAACATCGTGCAATAAAGAAGTGTCCTGTTGTATTAATTTTAATGGGGAAATCGATAAATATGAGATACATCCGGTGAGATAGTGAGTTTTTTGTATGAGAACGAACGATATATATCGAAAAATCGTTGACACACACATACAACTTTTCTTTTTCTTTTCAATTGTACACTTTGTCGTGATTGAATAATTAATGAAACACATATATAGCGCTCGAAAGGAACGTCGAAATATACGCAGACAGTGGATTTATCGTGTCGTGCCTTTTTTCATTCTAAGTCTAAATTTACGCTTCATTATTGTGGTCTATCAGAATTAACTCGATATATCATTTTTTTGCACTAGCTCGCAAATATTTCATGATAATCGCTTGATTCACGAACTCAACTGAATCATCCAAACTAGTAAGCAAAAAATACTTGATTGTAAAAGCTGGTGCAGGTAGTCGTGCTGTTGTTCAAAATTTGCAAAAAAAAAAGAATCTGGCAGTGGCTCACTTGTCTAGCAATCAAAACATCGATCGATCAGGACAAGTGTGTAAGCAAGGTGGCAGTTTACAGAGTGAGAGAGAGAGAGAGAGCGCGCGCGAATCGCTCGGACAAATATAATCGGCAGCTGGCGCAGCTGCATCGAGCGTACATGCGCGAAAAAGAATGTGTTACGCCCGGGCGATGCGTGTTTTCCGAATAGCGCGAGTGAGTCACGTGGACGTATTGCTGCTGCTGGAGCGGACGTGTGGTGTATGCAGCGTTGCCATATCTCTTGCAGAAACTTTCTTTCGTCTATATGGAAGAAAGAGAGAGACGGCGCCGTGCGCGCGCACGCAGACACACACACACACACACACACAAGAGAGAAAAAACTCATACTTACACACAAAAGCACGAATCTTCGCTGCTAGCGCTACGCTTCGCAGCTAGATTTTTCGAGCGAACGCGCTTCCTTGAAACACATGAGGAAGAGAGAAAGAGAGTGTGCGTGTGTGTGTGAGAGAGAGAGAGAGAGAGACAGAGGTTAGTGTGCTGCGCTTGCCTTTCTTTATGTTTCGCCTCTCTTCTTTAGTATACTATTGCAACATCTCGCGCTCGCGTTTTTTCGCCGTCTTTCGGCAATGGCTCTTTTTGGGGGCTGCGGGTGCCGTTTCTATTTCTTGTTCTTGTTCTTATTCTTTTTTTTTTCTCCGATGCGCGATTTGAAACTTCTATCTGCGCTTCGGGGAAGCTTACGAAGCATTGCAAATATTTATTTTTCGAACCGTCGTTAATTACGCTCAGTTTAGAAATTAGTATTCGCGAACGATGAAAAAAACTTGCGAACGTATCTTTATGCCGAAGGGATTAGAGAGTCAATCAGCATGCGCATACGCTTCCAAGAGAGGATTATTCAATCCGACACTCGACAAATGCCGTAACGAAATATTTTCGCGTGAGAGGAGCGAGCGATAAATAAAACAACGGTACGTTCAGAGAAATTCAACGAAAATTTGAAACTCCAAGTTCGTTTTTTCGACCGATTAGACAAAAAGGATTTTTAAAAAATCGGGTCGTCTGTTCCAAAAAGTCTCTTGCGCTAAATATGCGCTACTGCTGCTGCTGCATCACCTAGCGGGGCGCAGATGGGCCTCACATATGGCAGTATAACAACGTTGCATCAGCCTTTTCGCATTGCCGCCGCCAGCTGTCCCACGTGTAAAATGCAAATTTTTCGGCTACATGTCTTTCTTTGCCTCTATGAAGAAGTTGAAAAATTGTTTTCTCTTTTGATGGCTTTTCGATTTTTGTACGCTTGTTTGGTTATCTTTAGATTCTCTTTTGCGGGCTTGATTTTGTGATGAGATTGATGCTATCTCATTTCCTACAGTATTCTCGTTATAAAAAACAAGACTCTTTGATGGCGGTATCTGCTAATTTGTACATTTTTGAGAACTACGTAGGATATATTTTCGTGTACGAGGTACCGTTGATAACATCAATCGAGGTATATTCGCTATCGCGGTACTCACCATCGATCTTGTTATAAAATTTGCCGGACACTAGCAATCGCCCGGCGCGAACCGAGTTTGTCGTGTAACTTCATCGAGAAAATAGAACGTTATTAGCATTGATCGATCTAAATGTCTTCGGTCAATTTTAAACTAAACTGAAAATACCTATAGGTCGAGCTCAAAACCTCACGTGTTCGTAAAATAACCACATGACACGATATCGCGAAAAGCAGTGACT